GTTACATGAAATATCTTTCCAACGTTTTTCAATAGCTTTTATATACTAAACTGAAAAAAGATCCGCTCAAGAAATTGATACTGCTGTAGGAAAACTACATTTTGCACTTCGAATAATAAATAATTGGCAAATAGAAACGCATTGTCCTATCATAAAAATAATAAGAAATTACAGATTATCATAGTTTGCATTTTGTGAGCGAAGTGATTGTATTGATACAGAATACCAGTATAATTGAATTTTGTGCATGTTTCGTAACAATATGTAAGAAACTGTTAACATCAAGTTGATATTCCCGTTTTATAGAATGGTACCGTTTATTTTCTAAATAATAGACGATGACATCAATATCTTCAGGGCAAGCCAAGTATTCCAAAAATTTAGCGTCAGATTTATTCACTCCTATATCAAACACTAATTCCCTAGTGGTCTCGCTTATGGTAGTTATCATCAAACCTTTACAATATATCTATTCCTGCTGCCATGGCAAACGACTGACATAAAAAAAGTAATTTTTCTTATTATAGTTTAACATATCGATCTTTTGATTATAAATTATTTAAACATTATAAGCGATACCTACAAGAAAATTTGATTAAAAAAAGTTAAAAATGTATAACAACATTTACACGCGCAATTTTAAATCTATGATATATTGTTTTAATATATTGTTGGCTTCTGTCTTACAAGTGATATCACCAAAAAAACATGCCCATCTTGCAGCTTCATATCGTAAACAGTTTTTAAGAAAGGCTTGATCAACAACTTCGTATCGGATTTTTTTAAGTACATGAAATAATATGGCTCTTATTCTTCCCTAAAAATCGTTAAATATTTATTTTTCAGGTTAATTAATATATTTTAGATTTGCGTTTAGCTCAAGTGCAACTTTCGGTCGAACGTCCCTGGACTATGAATTATATTCCCTAAAATGTTGCGTCCGCGGACCGATTTTAATAAACATTCAAACCGTGCGACACAATTGGAGCTCTCCTTAAAAATTTGATTAAATTTGTGAGAAATGTTTATAAGTATAAATCATTGACAAAGATTGTAAACACCATATCCAATAACCAAAAACAATGTCATATATATCAATAATATTAACAGTAGTAAAAATCAAACACTTTGGGTCCTGTTCTTCACGTGAGTAATCATTTAATTTAATTTATTTGCACATTTATTTGCAACATAATTAATAGTATGCAAACGTTTATCGTTGCAGTATATATTTTTCTGAGTATTTGAACTTTTTGTAGTAAATGAGTGTATATATGCAAATAACAAAAATATAACACTTTCATTGAAATCTATTAACATTTACCTTAACATTGTTAAATTGTTCGCCAAACGCTGAAAAGGTACCGAACATGTATTCCAGAGCTTTAAACATAGGATACCAAGCTATATAATCTTCTTCTCGATGTAGATACTCTATGATATCCCAGAATAGATATGATTCGAGTTGGCCTGCTATCATTAAATGAAATGCATCATCAATAATTTGGGCACGATTAAGAACATGAATTTTCGTGTAATTTTCAGAGTGTAGATAATGTGAAATCCTTTGCCAATTCTCGACATCGTAGTTCACGCGGTAATATCCTGTCGAATAGTAAATAAATGTTATCAATTTTTATTGTTTTAAATATTTATAACATTATGATAACATTATATTGTATTTATTTTAAAAACTGTCTGTTTTATACTTTTGTTTATATAAATTTATATTGAAAACGTATTAAAAATTTAATGTATATAAAAAACATATACATGTAGAAAAGTTATTACAAATGAAAATAAAACTGTACAAGGTATTGTTAAATAGCATAAAATAAATTGATTCTAGTTGAGCATAAATCAGTAAAATTTCTGTAACATATAACTTCACAAAAATTGTATGTTTTACTTGTTATTATTGTTTCACTAATTTTATAAAAATTGTTAATTTTTATAATTTTTATTATAATTAAAATAAAATATTTGTAAACATATAACTTGAAAATTAATTGATATTATAATAGAAAACACCAATGTATAACATATAATTATATATGGTAATAATTTCATCAAACATATCTGGCTATAAGTAATATTTATCAACTAACAGTGAGTTCGTAACACATTATCATGACATTACATCACGTCATGACCTCAAGATGAAATAAGTAGTGTTTGTTATAATAAGGCGGTATTATGTAGCACTTGATAAAGGTTGAAACCCATGGTCGAAACGTCGTAAAATTTTAATAAATATTATTCATAGCCAGATATGGTTGATGAAATTAATACCATTTTTAATTATCAACTGGTGACTTCTTAGTTTTTATATATATATATATATATATATAATTATATATAAATAATGCAGATTATTACATAAAATATTTAAGAATTAACATAGTTATATAATGAAGATCTCAGATTTTTATAGAACAATAAATATAATAGATAATAATATAGAATAATTTCAATTATGTGTGTGTAAAATAAAGACAAGAAATAAGTCATAATAAATTCCTTGGTCGATATTATTAAATAAAATACATTATCGACTTACCAACTTGTTGTACATTGAATATCATCCAACCAGGCTGATTAAATGCTAATGATAATTTTAAATTCTTTTTAACGCATAACATATGATGAGTAAAATTGTTAAAATTGGGAGACGCTTCCGTAGTAAAAGTTACAGGAAGGCAGTCAATTTTTAATGTGTCGGTATTCTGTATCAATACAATCACTTTGCTCACAAAATGCAAACTATGATAATCTGTATAATTTCTTATTATTTTTATGATAGGACAATGCGTTTCTAATTGCCAATTATTTATTATTCGAATTGCAAAATGTGTTTTTCCTACAGCAGTATCAATTTCTTCCAAAAGATGCAGCAAACTTTGACTAAATTTACACAATAGGTAAAATATATAAAAAAACATTCGAAATATGTTGAAATTGTCTTTATAATTATATATATATATATATATATATATATATTATATTTATCTTATGATAGTAAGGAATATAACAATTTTGAATAAAATTTAATAATTTTATTAAATTTTTTATGCATTATTAGCATAATATATAATAGATTATCTTTAAGCAAAATATTAAAAGAGTTATGAAATAACTAAAAAAAAATTAAAACACATTGGAAGTGTCAAAACAAGAATTTAAACAATTAATATAAAAAACATTGATTTACAAAAATCGAAAATAAAGATAGAGAAGTACTGGAAAAAAATATAAGTTTTATATATTTAAAAACCTATTAAATAAAAAACATAAACAACAAATGTAGCACAAAATGCAATTATAAAAAAATAAATTACAAAAATTATAGACGATATAAAACATAAAGGAAATAATAAAAAAAAAATGAAAATAATTTGAAAATATTATTTTAAAAAATAACAAAACAGGAAACAATAATAAAAGGAACAACAATAGATATGTAAATAAAAAAGTGACAAACACAACGATAAAACAACAGTTTCTTTCTGCAAAAGCAGTTTCGTAGTAAAAGTAATGAAATCAAATATAAATCTAATACAGGAGCTAGAAAAATAAAGAAAAACTAAAAACATGTAAAACTAAAAAAACTCTGAAATAATGTCAGAAGCTGAAAAATAACGTACATTTTACAAAACTAATATTATTATGAATTATTTAGGGTTTACACAATTTTTTTTTTTTTAATTTATATTCTATATTATATTACTTACTTGCTAAATGCATATGGGAGGACGCTTTTCCAAAATAATTCTTCGGTGAAGGCGTGTTGTACCATGCGCAGTAAAAAGGGTGCTACAATTTACATCAAAATTATAAATTAGAAATATTATAAATATTTAATTATTTTAAATGTTACATGTAAACATAATGATTATAATAAGGAATTAAATTTTATATGTATACAAGGTAGTAATCGCGTAACAGTGAAATGAAATTTCTCTTTAATTCTGACGAAGATAGCGAGACATTAAAGGATCAATTTTATTAAATAATTTTCGAGTTATAAAGGTTAGAAGTTAACAATTTTTTGACAAAATGTAAAATACCCTGCAAAATCATTCAGTTTGCGGTAATCATATTTCAATACCTTTACGTATATATAAAATATATACATACATATATACAAACAATTTTATTATAAAATGTCTTTACAATGATTTCTTGAACAATTTATTTCAGAGAGAAACGTTTTATATAAAAATTGTATGATTTCTAAAAAGAAACAAGTAAACACTACTGACTTTTTTTAAAAGGTCAAGTTTTATGGTTATATAAAATTTAGTTAATTTTTTTTGAATGGATTTACCTTAATTTTTTTATATATCGATTTCTTGCAATATTCATTAAGTTTTGTAAGAATAAAATAATCATAAAGAGAATATTTTGTAGGATATTTTATACCTCTAACACATTATTTTACATAAACGTAAATATATCTCAAAAAATATTCATTTTTCCTTGTCATATATTAATAATTTTGTATATAAAATAATGAGAATAATCAATATTTTAGCATAAAACCATATTATTTTGGAAGAAAACTATGTAGAGCTGTTAGTTGCAAATTACATACACACATCTATATTGTTTGTGCACTTTTATAAAATTAATATATTATTAATATGAAAATAAAAGTAATTATCTTATAACTTTTACACATTTTTATAATTTCAATGATTAAAAATTTACGCTGACTATTTTATTATATTACGTCTTACCCCTCATGGATTTGCGAATGTTAAATAAACTATCATCTCGTAAAGAAGAATTCCACATATGATAATCACCATCCAAAGAAAAAGAATTATGTTGATTTTGAACAACAAATAAATTCATTATTCGATATTTTGGATAAACCTATTATGTGGAAATGCAGAGCAGCTATCTTACTACGTTTCAAAGAAAATAAATTATTAAAACATTTAATAAACATGTAAATGTAATATGTATAAATGTAATATTAAAAGTTTATTACATACGTTGTTTTTCTTTCCACATTAAAAATTCCGAAGCTTTTATCAAATTTACCAGAATATTCTATATATAAAGTATAATTTCCTGGTGATAATTCAACTCCAAAGACAATATTAATTGTGTCTTCATTACGATTATATGTTGGTTTATATACTGCATCTTTCTCATTCTCATAATTTCCATTATTTGTAAATAAATATATATTGTAAATACATGATTTTTCTAACTGCAAATATATGTGTTGCGTTTTGTTAAGAATGTTTATGCTGATATTGTATTCTCCATAGAAAATATTTTCTTCAATTTCTGATGTAAACTTGATATCGTAATGTATTGGTTTTACATATTTTGGTGGTTTATAACATCGAGATTCATTACGAATGAAAGCCGTCGCAGCGATAAAAATTAATCCACTACTTAATAATAGTTTCAAAAATATCATCATGTCGGAGAAAAGGAATATGTATCTGAGATCTCGAAAACACACTCTGGAAAAGATAAATAAAGAATATAAATTTAGTTTTAATGTATTTTTAAATAATTTTCGTATATAAACAAAAATAAAAACAATGAAAATATTAAAGTTATTAATAGAAGAACTATTCTAATTAATGAAATATTATATGGTGGAGAAGCAATACGCAAATTTTATTTGCACAATCTTTTAATATGAAGATATGTGTGTGTGTGTGCCGCGCGCGCGCGTGTGTGTGTGTGGGAAGGGGGGGTGTCGGTGTGGGTAAGTGTATATTTCAGTGTCGCACATATTGTAATTGACAGAAATAAACAAAAATTAGATTTGTAATAATTTATATTTCTATAAATAATTATTCTCATTGTCAGATGATTATATACATCTAAAATTTTTAGAATATTATTTAGAAGGATTTGTAGTATATAAATTTTTTTGGCTGCAACAAATTATTTTTATAAACACAAGAGCCGTTATTTTTACATACATATATACCTGTGTTTACATTTAAAGCAATTGTCCTATTTTTTAATTTTTTTTTATTATATACGTTATCTTTAACAGCAAAATTATTTAATTTTTCTTTGATGTAACAGATATTTTTTACTCAATTTTAGCACAACTTAAAATTATTCTAAGTAATAAAATACGCATATAGATATTTTTTTATAAAAAATAAATTCGACAAATTGTAGAAAATATAATTTTAATAATTTAATAATAAAAGGATAGTTAAAAGTGTCTATAATATTTAAATTAATGGTTATGTAAATTTTAGCATTTTTAAATTTAAATAATAATTTATTTATTATAAAACATTTGTAAATCCATTATTATTTCAACATTACATATCATTAAATATCATAATATATTGCACTATTTGAAATTATATCTGGATTAAAATAACAAGATAATTTTGAATGTAACTATTCTCTTTATGCTTATTTGTTAGACTTTTTTTAAAATTCCGTTATACTGTATGATTAAATTCTTTTATATTTGAAGACAAATATATGTTTTTATATTTTAAACTTATTTTGACTTACCTAATATTCCGGAACAGTATGTTAATTGCAAATTTATATTAAAAAAAATTATATATTTTTAAAATTACTGCAGCAAATTAATGCTTTAGCAGTATGCAATGGTCGAAGAATATATTTATTCACACACACTTTATTAGAATTATTGTATCTACCACGATGTGGTTCAACAGACCACGAAAGACTGACTGATCCTCTGTACGTGTCATCATGATAAATATGTGTTAGGTCAACAAAACTTTAGAGGTCGTTATATATACAAAGTATCCTAGAACTGACGAAAAAGTTTATAATGGCAGATTCAAGGTATCATTCAGAGACAATTTTTCCTCAGCAAAAATGTTGAGACACTAATAATTTTCGAATTATAAGCAGTTGACAAATTAAAGCTCTTTTAGAAACTAATATAAAATATTAATTAAACTACATTTTTTAGTTAATTTTAGATAGAGTTTGCTTTAATAGAATTTTAATACAAGGCAAAGTTATAAAAATACATAATAGCAAAAATTATGAATATGCTACAAATGATAACCTCTCTTAACATTTTCACTAAGGAAAAATTGTCTCCAAATAATACCAGAAATCTGCCATTAAAACTTTGCCGCTAGTTCTGAAACACTCTGTATATATAACGACATCTGAAGTTGGAATCATTAAATAAAATCAATTAGAATGGTTCGTTAAAGTAATTATTATCTTTCCATTAGTTAACTCTTTAGTTGAACAACGGGCAAAAAATAAACAACAAATTTTTGGAGACACCCTAATATATATATATATATGTTTATATATATATTTTATTTAATGGATCTACCTTTATCTTGAAATTTTCCCATTTAAATAATATGGGAAATAAGGTTTTTCTCAATAAATTAGTCTTTATCAAAATCAATTAAAGCACCTCAAAATTCGGTCTCTGTAGTTACTATAGACCGTGTTGATAATTACTATAACAAAGTAAACTAAGGACGAAGTGCTAAAATTTATAAAAACTTATTTAAAGTATCAAAAAAGGTGCATGATTTTTGCATTTTTTATTTTTTATTTATTTCTTTATAAATAATACGACTATTATGTAAACGGTTATTTTATTTATTTTAGTTTAGAAAAAAAATAAAAATAAATTTTTTTTAAATATAAGTATAATTAAATTTTTATTATTGATGCATGCAGTCATATCTTACTAAATAAAGTTTTGTAATTGTACAAAGGCATCGAATAGTAATACATCTAAATAATAATTATAAACAATAATTAAAGCAGTAAAAGAAATAGTATATATATAACATAAACATTACTCATATAAAGTATGTCCACGTATGCAAAGATGACATTTTTTTATAACCACAAATTATACAAAAAATCTTTCAAAATACTGCTTTCGTCTTCTGATTTGACCGTTCCGGTTAATTATCTGTCTTAATATGTTGTCATATAATTTATACATATTTATCACAATGTCACTCTAAAATAAATTGTTTTAATAATTATAAAATAATTGAATAAATTATAATCTCATTCCGCATTTTGACAATGTAATATTGTATATAAAATAAAAAAGATTTGCACAATAAGATCAACATACATTTCATTTATAACAAATAAAACATATGAAAAAATAAGTTTCAGGAATTGATAAGATTGAACAATATTTTTTTTTTTTGCTTTCTATAACAATATTTATTAAATTTACCTCCTTTATTTGATGTTTGTTAAATAAATCTTTTGTGTTATTTACTTCAACTAAATTATTGTTTAAAATACCTCTAACATTCCTTGATATTTGCTAAAAAATATTATTTTCTTAACATTATCAAAATTATTTTAAACATTAAATAATAATTATTAATATCGTATTATTATTACATATTGTATGCATATTTAAACAAGTAAAATTTTACCTGAGATAAATTGTCGGAATATACGTTGTTGATTATAATAATTAATGCTGCAATTAAATTAATCTCTCTATAAAAACAAAGAAAAACAGATGTATATATAATACACATAATAAACTTCTGTACACAATATTTATAAAAATGTCACCTTACTTTGGTTTTACTTCATTAAAATGATCTAATATGTACTTCAGTATAGTTGGATTCTTTGCATGCTTCGTAATAATATGTAAGAAACTGTTAACATCAAGTTGATATTCCCGTTTTATAGAATGATACCGTTTATTTTTTAAATAATAGATGATGACATCAATATCTTCAGGGCAAGCCAAGTATTCCAAAAATTTAGCGTCAGATTTATTCACTCCTATATCAAACACTGATTCCCAAGTGGTCTCGTTTATGGTAGTTATCATCAAACCTTTACAATATGTCCATTCCTGCTTCCATGGCAATCGACTAAAACATAAAAAAATTAATTTTTCTTATTAAAGCTTAACATATCGATTTTTTGATTAAATTATTTGAACATTATAAGCGATATCTACAAGAAAAATTGATTAAGAAAGGTTAAAAATGTATAACAACATTTACCCGCGCAATGTCAAATCTATGATATATTGTTTTAATATATTGTTGGCTTCTGTCTTACAAGTGATATCACCGAAAAAACATGCCCATCTTGCAGCTTCATATCGTAAACAGTTTTTAAGAATGTCTTCATCAACAACTTCCTTGTATCGGATTTTTTTAAGTACAGCGAATAATACAATTTTTATTGTTCTCTAAAAATTGTTAAATATTTATTTCTCTGGTTAATTAATATATTTGAGATCCGCGTTTAGCTCAAGTGCAACTTTCGGTCGAACGTCTCTAAACTATGAATTATATTCCCTAAAATGTTGCGTCCGCGGATCGATTTTAATAAACACTTAAACCGTGCGACACAATTAGAGCTCTCTTCAAAAGTTAGATTAAATTTGTGAGAAATGTTTATAACTATAAATCATTGACAAAGATTGTAAACACCCAGTTATATATCCAAAAACAATGTCATAAATATCAATAATATTAGCAGTAGTGAAAATCAAACACTTTGGGGCCTGTTCTTCACGTGAGTAATCATTTAATTTAATTTATTTGCACATTTATTTGCAACACTATTAATAGTATGTAAAAGTTTATCGTTGCGGTATATATTTCTGAGTATTTGAACATTTTGTAGTGAATGAGTGTATATATGCAAATAACTGAAATATAACATTTTCATTGAAATCTATTAACATTTACCTTAACATTGTTAAATTGTTTGCCTATCGCTAAAAAAGTACCGAATATGTATTCCAGAGCTTTAAACATAGGATACCAAGCTATATAATCTTCTTCTCGACGTAGATACCCTATGATATCCCAGAATATATATGATTCGAGTTGGTCTGCTATCATAAAATGAAATGCATCATCGATAATTTGTGCACGATTAAGAACATGAATTTTTGTGTAATCTTCAAAGTTCAGATAACTTGAAATTCTTTCCCAATTCTCGATATCGTAGTTCACGCGGTAATATCCTGTCGAATAATAGATAAATTTTATCAATTTCTATTGCTTTGAATAATTTTATAATTATAATGTATTTATTTTCAAAAATGTCGTATCAAAAATTTAATACATATAAAACGCATATACATATAGAAAACTTATTACAAATGAAAATTTAACTCTACTAGATATAATAATATAGCATTAAATAAAATTGATTCTAGTTGAGCATAAATCATGTAATATTTATTTTATATTAATCAGTAAAATTTTTGTAACATATAATCTTACGAAAATTGTATGTTTTATTTGTTATTATTATTTTATTATTTTTATAAAAATTGTTAACTTTTTATAATTTTCATTTTAATTAAAATAAAATATTTGTTAACATATTACTTGAAAATTAATTGATATTATAATAGATAACACCAATGTATGACATATAATTATATATAAATAATGCAGATTAGTACATAAAATATTTAAAAATTAACATAGTTATATAATGAAGATCTCAGATTTTTATAGTACCATGAATATAATAGATAAAAATATAAATTAAGTCAATTATGTGTGTGTAAAACAAAGACGAGAAATAAGTCATAATTAGTCCCTTGGTCGATATCATTAATTAAAATGCATCATTGACTTACCAATTTGTTGTACATTGAATATCATCCAACCAGGCTGATTAAATATTAATGATAATTTTAAATTCTTTTTCACACATAACATATAATGAGTAAAATTGTTAAAATTGGGAGACGTTTCCGTAGTAAAAGTTACAGGAAGGCAGTCAATTTTTAATGTGTCGGTATTCTGTATCAATACAATCACTTTGCTCACAAAATACGATCTATGATAATCTGTATTATTTCGTATTATTTTTATGATAGGACAATGCGTTTCCATTTGCCAATTAGTTATTATTTGAGTTGCAAAATGTGTTTTTCCTACAGCAGTATCAATTTCTTCCAAAAAATGCAGCATACTTTGGCTAAATTTACACAGTATGTAAAATATATAAAAGAACATTAGAAATATGTTGAAATTGTCTGTATAATTATATATACATATATATATATATATATATATTTATATATATTTATTATTTATATTATGATTATAGAGAATATAACAATTTTACATAAAATTTAATAATTTTATTAAATTTTTTAAGCATTTATTAGACATATTATTAACATAATATATAATAGATTATTTTTAAGCAAAGTATTGTGAGAGTTATAAAATAATTAAAAGAAATTTGAAACATATTAAAAATAACAAAACAAAAATTCAAACAAATAATATTAAAAACATTGATTTACGAAAATTGAAAATACAGATAGAGAAGTAATGGAAAAAAATATAAGTTTTATATATTTAAACATTTATTAAATAAAAAGATTAAAAAACAAATGTAGCACAAAATGCAATTATAAGAAAAGAAATTATAATAATTATAGACAATATAAAACATGAAGGAAATAATAATAAAATAATACAAAAATTTATAAATATTATTTTAAAAATTAACAAATCAGGAAACAAATATAAAAGAAACAACAATGCATATGTAAATAAAAAAGTAACAAACACAACGATAAAACAACAGTTTCTTTCTGCAAAGACAGTTTCGTAGTAAAAGTAATAAAATTAAATATAAATCTAATACAGAAGCTAGAAAAAAAAGAAAAACTAAAAACTTGTAAAACTAAAAAAAATCTGAAATAATGTCAGAAGTTGAAAAATAAAGGACATTTTACAAAACTGGTATTATTATGAATTATTTAAGTTTTACACAATTTAAATTTTTTAAATTATATTTTATATTATATTACTTACTTGCCAAATGCATATGAACGAACGCTTTTCCAAAATAATTCTTCGGTGAAGGCGTGTTGTACCATGCGCAGTAAAAAGGGTGCTACAATTTACATCAAATTTATAAATTAGAAATATTATAAATATGTAATTATTTTAAAGGTTACATGTAAACATAATGATTATAAAAAGACATTAAATTTTATATGTATACAAGGTAGTAATCGTTTAACAGTGAAATGAAATTTTTCGTTAATTCTGACGAAGATAGCAAGTCATTAAAGGATCAATTTAATTAAATAATTTTCGAGTTATAAAGGTTAGAAGTTAACAATTTTTTGACAAAATGTAAAATATCCTTCAGAATTATTCAGTTTGCGGTAATCATATTTCAATACATTTACGTATATATGAAATATATACATACGTATACACAAACTATTTTATTATAAAATATCCTTACAATAATTTCTTGAACAATTTATGTTAGATGAAAACGTTTTATATACAAGTTGTATGATTTTTAAAGAGAAACAAGTATACACTACTGACTTTTTGCTAAAGGCCAAGTTTTATGGTTATATATAATTCACTTAAATTTTTTGAATGGATCTATCTTAATTTTTTTATAAATCGATTTCTCGCAATATTCATTATCAAAACAATAAATTGTAAGGATAAGATAATCATAAAAATAATAATTTATATAATATTTTATACCTCTAACACATTATTTTACATAACCGTAAATATATCTCAAGAAATATTCATTTTTCCTCAATTATATCTCAATAATTTTGTATATAAAATAATGAGAATAATCAATATTTTAGCAAAAAACCACATTAGTTTGGAAAAAAACTATGTAGCTGTTAGTTGCAAATTACATACATACATCTATATTGTTTGTGTAACTTTATAAAATGTAATATATATTATTAAAATCAAAATAAAAATGTAATTATCTTATAACTTTTACACATATTTTTATAATATTAATAATTAAAAATTTACGCGGACTAATTTATTATATTGTGTTACCTCTGATGGATTTGCGAATGTTAAATAAACTGTCATCTGGTAAAGGAGATTTCCACATATGATAATCACCATCCAAAGAAAAAGAATTATGTTGATTTTGAACAACAAATAAATTCATTATTCGATATCTTGGATAAATCTATAAAAAAAATTATTAAATATATCAATATAATTGCTTGGAAGATACTTGCAATAAAAACAAATACTAATATTATAATAACGTTACTTCTATGTTAATTAGTAAATTTCCTCATTTAAAAAAAACACATATAAATGAATATAATAAATCTAAAATTTTGTATTAATATTATTAGCAAATATTATATACTTTTAAAATAATTTTGTCATGATATTATATAGCAGAGTTCTCTTCATCAAACCAATTAAAATAAATATTGTGTGTACTATTTTTAATTAATTAATTTTATCTTAGATTTAATAAAAATTAAGAAATATTTAATAAAGAGGTGTTAAAAAATAAAAAAGTTTTAATACTTTACTTTATTATAATTATATGTATGTAACGGAGTAAAAAAAATATTTTTGAGAAAACAGTTTAGTATTTTGTATAATGTTAAATATTTCTAATTGTAAGATAATTTACATCTTGCAATATAAATGCTTAAGTTTGTTATCATTTTTGAGATAGTGGGAGCGAGATAGCGTTGAAAATAGAATTACTTTATGGACAGCAATTGTTGCAAGCAATCCAGTAAGACCTTCATTAAACCAAGAAGTCGACTGAAATGGATTGTTCAGATTATAAAACCATTGCTGTGCCACTTTATGTCCTACGAATTGAACTACTTGGATTTCGCGAGCAACAGGATATAAAAATTTATTAAAGATGATATCTATTTCCCTGAAAGTTACATTTAAATGTCAAGACTGAGATGTTACATAAAAAATAAAACTTAATTTTTGTTACAATTGCTTAATTTTATTTAAAACTACGGTTTATAAACTCATGGGTACAATTTAGCAAACCAGTATTGTAAATTGTACCTAATCATTTTTTTTAATTTTTAATTTAATATATAAAAAAATTATATATTTGTATTAATGCGTATATGTTTGATAAGAACTATAGATCTAAATGAATAAAATATTGTGATTTTTTAATAATTTTATTGTAATTTTAATATTTATTGTAGAGAGTACGATTTAGCATATATGCTTTTCCCTGTATGTACGTATTACAACGGTAAATTTCAACTTTCAGAATATTGCAAATAAATTAATTTTTATTAAAATTGTTTGTTTTTAACTTTTCTCATGCATACTTTCAAAAGTTTAAAAAAACAACCTATATGTACATGTTTATAAATTTTATAAATTTCCATACTAATATAATTTTATTTTTAATGTAATTTAAAGAACTTTTACTCACTTATAAAGAACAAGTCCGAAAACTATAATGTTTTTATCATGGAAATTTGGAATTACAGCATGAGTGACGTGCGTAAAACTGTTCGAACGATTCCAATATCTTTGAAAATCCAACGTAATATCTTCAGCTATATTTTCTGCATGTCTTATGTTTAATCTAGATTCGAGTCTGCTCCACATGTTAATTCTTCGAGTTTTGTCATCAGAATGGATTAGATTATTAGATAGAAGGATTGTTATGAGATAAGGCGATATTGCAGGTGTGGTATTGAAGTGTGTCCATAACACATGGTTCTCATCTATTTCAATATTTGGCACTGGCATATTTGACAAAGCCACGCATCGATTACATCCGATAGATATGCTAAAGCTTGCTTCTAAATATTGGTAATTCCAACATGGAATTAATTGTCGGGAGCCTATTATGTGGAAATGCAGAGCAGCTATCCAACTACATTTCAAAGAAAATTAATTAATAAAACATTTTTGGCTTGCATAAAAATGTTGGAAATTAATAAACATGTAAATGTAATATGTAATAATATATTCGAAAGATAAAGATTGTTCGTCTGTATATTTGAATTTTACGATACATAATAATTTTTTGCACATTTTTGACATAAATGATATATCAATTACAATATCTAATGTAATTGCATATTGTATACCATTTAATGACCATTTATTAAAAATTTATTACTTACATTGTTTTTTTTTCGATGTTTAAAACTTTGAAGATTTTATGAGCATTACCAAAATATTTTATATTTAAAGTATAATTTCCTGGTAATAATTCATCTCCAAAGACAATATTAATTGTGTCTCCACTACGATTATATGTCGGTATATATATTGTGTTATTATCATTTTTATATTTTCCAATATTTGTAAATAAAGTTATATTGTTAATACATATTTTATCTGACTGTAAATATATGTATTTTGTTTTGTCGAGAATGCTTATGCTGATATTGTATTCTCCATGGAAGAAATGTCCTTCAATGTATGATACAAACTTGATATCGTAATTTATTGGTTTTACATAGTTTGATGGTTTATAACATCGAGATTCATTACGAATGAAAGCCGTCGCAGCAATAAAATTTAATCCGCTACTTAATAATAATTTCAAAAATATCATCATGTCGGAGAAAAGGAATATTTATTTTAGATCTTGAAAACACACTCTGGACAAAAGATTAATAAAGAAATTAAATATAGCTTTAATGTAATTTTAAATAATTTTTGTATATAAACAATTAAATAAATAAACAATTAAATAAAATTATTCATTGAAAAACTATCCTAATTAATGAAATATGGTGAGGAAGCAATGTGCAAATTTCTATTAGCACAAATTTTTAAAACAAAATTATATATACATATGTATATATGTGTGTGTGTGTGTGTGTATGTGTGTGAGTGTATGTGGGTATGAGTGGAGGCGTGTGGGTGTGTGTAGATGTATGTGATAGTGTCTGTGGTTGTGAGTGCGGGTGTGAGTGTGTGTATATTTTAGTGTCGCACATATTGTAATTGACAGTAATAAACAAAAAGTAAATTTGTAATATATTTTATATTTTTTTTAATAATTATACTTATTGTCAAAATATTATGTACATCTAAAATTTTTAGAATATAATTTAGAAGTTATTGTAGTATATAAAGCTTTTTGGCTGAAGCAAATTACTTTTATAAACACAAGAGTCGTTATTTTTACATACATATATACCTGTGTCTACACTTAAAACAATGTTCTATTTTTTTATTTTTTTTTTATTATATACGTTCTCTTTAACAGCAAAGTAATATTTAATTTTTTATAAGCACAACTTAAAATGATTTTAAATATTAAAATATGCACAGATATCTTTATTATAAAAAATATATACGACATATTGTAGAGAACATAATTTTAATAATCTAATAATAGAAGGTTAATTAAAAGTGTCTATAATAATTATTATTTGTTATGTAAATTATAGCATTTTTAAGTTTCAGAGATAATTTATTCATTTAAAATATTTGTGAGTCCACGATTATTTCAACATTACAAATTTATTAAATTTTATAATATTGGCATTATTTCAAATTATATCTGAATTAAAATTTAAAGATAATTTAAATGAAACTATTCTCTTTATGCTTATTTGTTAGACCTTCTTTAAAATTCCGTTATATTGTATGATTAAATTCTTTTGTATTTGAAGACAAATATATGTTTTTATATTTTTAACTTACCTTGACTTACCTAATATTTCGGAACAGTATATTAATTGCAAAATTATATTGATAAAAATTATATATTTTTAAATTTACTGCAGCAAATTAATGCTTTAGCAGTATGCAATGGTCGAAGAATATAATTATTCACACACACTTTATTAGAATTATTATATCTACCACAATATGGTTCGAAAGGCCACGAAAGACTGACTGATTCTCTGTACGTGTTATCATGATAAATATGTGTTAGGTCAACAAAACTGTAGAGGTCGTTATATATATATATACATACAGGGTATCCCAGAAGTGGCAAAAAAGTTTTTAATGGCAGATTCCTGGTATCATTCGGAAATGATTTTTCCTTAGCAAAAATGTTGAGACACTAATAATTTTCGAATTATAAGCATTTGAAAATAAAAGCTTTTTTGGAAGCTAAGCCTTGTAGGTGTAAAATATTAACAGAACTACATTCTTTAGTTAATTTTAGATAGAGTTTGCTTTAATAGAATTTTAATACAAGGTTTGGTTATAAACATACATGATAACAAAAATTAGGATACTAAAAATGATGATCCCCTTTAACATTTTCACTAAGGAAAAATCGTCTCCAAATAATATCAGGAATCTGCCATTAAAAACTTTTCCGCCAGTTCTGGGACACCCTATATATATATAACGACCTCTGAAGTCGGAATCATTAAATAAAATCAATTAGAGTTGGATTGTTAGAGTAATTATTATCTTTCCACTAGCTAACTCTTTAGTTGGACAGCGGGCAAAATTAAACAACAAATTTTTTTACATACCTTGATATATATATATATATATATATATATATATATATACATATTTTTTTTTTATTTAATGATTCCACCTTTACCTTGCAATTTTCCCACTTAAATAACATGGAAATTGCGGTTTTCTCTCAATAAAATCGTCTTATCTTTATTTAAATCAATAAAAACAATTTAAAATTCGGTCTCATTGTCAGAGATTACTATATAGACCGTGTTGATAACTACTGCAACAAAGTAAAATGAGAGTAAAATAAAAACATTAATAAAAAATTATTTAAAAAATTAAAAAGAGCGATTTTTGCATATTTATAATTTTTATTTATTTTTTAAACATAAATAATACAATTATTATTTAAACGATTATTTTAGTTTAAAAAATCAGCAAAAAAATGTTTTTTAAAAATATAAGTATAAAAAAATTTTTATCATTGATGCATGCAGTCATAAAGTTTTGTAAATATATAGAAGCATCGAATAGTAATACATCTAAATAAACAATAATTAAAGCAGTAAAAGAAATAGTATATATACAATAAAAAAAGTTATTTATATGCAATATGTCCACGTATGCAATAATGACATTTTGTTTTATAACCACAGATTATACAAAAAATATTTCAAAATACTGTTTTTGTCTTCTGATTTGACCGTTCCGATTAATTATCTGTCTTAATGTGTAGTCATATAAGTTATACATATTTATCACAGTGTCACTCTAAAATAAATTGTTTTATTAATTATAAAATAAATAAATAAATTGTATTCTTATTCCGCATTTTGACAATTTAATATTGTATATAAAATAAAAAAGATTTGCACAATAAGATCATCATACATTTTATTTATAACAAATAAAACATATGTAAAAATAAGATTCTGGAATTGATTGAACAATATTTCTCTTTCTTTTGCTTTCTACAACAATATTTATTAAATTTACCTCCTTTATTTGATGTTTGTTAAATAAATCTTTTGTGTTATTTACTTCAACTAAGTTATTGTTTAAAATACCTCTAACATTCCTTGATATTTGCTATAAAGTATTATTTTCTTAACATTATCAAAATTATTTTAAACATTAAATAATAATTATTAATATCGCATTATTATTACATTTTGTATATTTAAACAAGTAAAACTTTTACCTGAGATAAATTGTCGGAATATACGTTGTTAATTAGAATAACTAATACTGCAATTAAATTAATCTCTCTATAAAAACAAAAAAACAAATGCATATATAATACACATAATAAATTTTTGTACACAATATTTATAAAAATGTCACCTTACTTCGGTTTTACTGCGTTAAAATGACGTAATATGTACATCAGTATAGTTGGATTCTTTGCATGCTTCGTAATAATATGTAAGAAACCGTTAACAAGAAATTTATGATCTCCTCTTGTAGAATGGTATTGTTTATTTTCTAAATAATGGATGATGACATCAGTATCATCAGGGCAAGCCAAGTATTCCAAAAATTTAGGGTCAGTTTTATTCACTCCTATATCAAACACTGATTCCCAAGTGGACTCGTTTTTAGTAGATATCATCAAACCTGTACAATAAGTCCATTCTTTCCACCATGGCAAAATTCTAAAATATGGAATTAAATTCTCTTATTAAAAATCAGTAAGTAACTTCTTGATTAAATTATTTGAATATAATAGGCGATATCTAATACAAGGATATTTTATTAGAAAAGGCTAAAAATGTTTAACAATATTTACCTGTGTGTTTGAAAATCTTTGATATGTTGTTTTAATTTATTGTTTGCTTCTTTCTTACAAGTGGTGCTACCGAGAAAACAATCCCATCTTGCAGCTTCTTGTCGTAAACACTTTCTAAGTTCGTCTTTCTCATGAATTTCTTCGTATTTGATTTCTCTAAGTACCTTGCCTAATATGTGTCTTGTTAGTTCCTAAAAATCGTTAATATTTGTTTCTCTGGTTAATTAATATGTTTAAGCCCGCGTTTAGTCCAAGTGCAACTTTCGGTCAACCGTCCCTGGACTATGAATTACATCCCCTAAAATGTTGTGTCCGCGGAGCGATTTTAATAATCACTCAAACCGTGCGACACAATTGAGGCTCTCTTCAAAAATTAAATTAAATTTGTGAGAAATGTTTATAAGTATAAATCATTGACAAAGATTGTAAACACCCAACTATATATCCAAAAAAAATAAAAAATAAAAACAATTAGAAAATAAATAATAAAAATAAATTAGAAAATAAAAAATAAATTAGAAAATAAAAAAATTAGAAAATAATAATACAATTTTTTACAAAAAAAAAACTCCCGACTGCTGCCAACTAAGTTTTAATGTTTAAATTAAAAAATAATGTTTAAATTAGAAAATAAATAAAAAAAAATAATAAAAAAATTAGAAAATAAAAAATAAAAAATAAAAAACAATTAGAAATAAATAAAAAATAAAAAACAAAACAAAAATTAAAAATAATAAAAGAACAAAAAAATTATAAGTATAAAAAATAAGCTTGTAAAAGTTGGAAATAATCACACATAAATAAAGTCTGTTGTTTATTATATAATTTTTCTTATTTAAATTTATTGTTATCATACATATTTAGCGCTATATAATTTACAAAAATTTCAGATTTTTGAATTCAAAAATTTTTTTAATTATAATTATTATTATTAATTCTACAATTTACAAGAGCAGTCGGGAGACGCCGCGCGTCTAAAAACTGTAACGTCCGTTGAGTATCGATATTTGTGTTTGTGTCTATTTATTACATAAAACGTGCGCGTGCGTATATGTCTCAAATTTAGCGCGGCGTCTCCCGACTGCTCTTGTAAATTGTAGAATTAATAATAATAATTATAATTAAAAAAATTTTTTGAATTCAAAAATCTGAAATTTTTGTAAATTATATAGCGCTAAATATGTATGATAACAATAAATTTAAATAAGAAAAATTATATAATAAACAACAGACTTTATTTATGTGTGATTATTTCCAACTTTTACAAGCTTATTTTTTATACTTATAATTTTTTTGTTCTTTTATTATTTTTAATTTTTGTTTTGTTTTTTATTTTTTATTTATTTCTAATTGTTTTTTATTTTTTATTTTTATTTTCTAATTTTTTTATTATTTTTTTTTATTTATTTTCTAATTTAAACATTATTTTTTAATTTAAACATTAAAACTTAGTTGGCAGCAGTCGGGAGTTTTTTTTTGTAAAAAATTGTATTATTATTTTCTAATTTTTTTATTTTCTAATTTATTTTTATTATTTATTTTCTAATTGTTTTTTATTTTTATTTTTTTTTTTAATTGTTTTTTATTTTTTATTTTTTATTTTCTAATTTTTTTATTATTTTTTTTTTTATTTATTTTCTAATTTATTGCTGTTCTTATGCTGTTTCTTCATTCTTTTGTCTCTCTGCTTCTTCATCCTACACATGTAAAAGTTTTTATTATGTAATATATATATTACAATGTATATAATATAATAATAATAATAATAAAGACACACATACACTCACCATGTGACTGCAATGTTCTATATTCTTTCCAAATATTTTTCTGCTACAATTTTTTAATTAATATAATATAATATAAATAGAGAGATAAATAAAAAAAAATAGCTAGATAGATAGATTGATAGATAGAGAGAGACAGATGACAAAGACAGATGACAACAATATCTTATATCAAATACGTAAACTTGTACGCAGTTATAATTATGGCTTTGACAAATATATTAACTTTCTTATGGCTATATAAGTTTATACATTATGTAATCACAAGTAAGTTTATATATTTGTATAGCCTTAATTATTATTACATATGTGAATAATCTTTTGTAGTAGATAATTGGCTATGTAAGTTAATATATTTGTCTGCATTGCCATAATTATTGGTGCGCTAATATCTTTGTATAACTATAAATATATTTGTATACATATTTTTAATTAATTATATAATTATTATATAATATACAAATAAGAGAAAAAATAACTATATACATTTATACAATTATATATGTGGATATTTATAGCAATGTGGCTACGTAGCAAATTTAATAGCAAATAAGTGGCTACGCAGACAAATATAAATTCATATAGCCATGTTATGACTACAACAGATTAATTATATTATTAATTATATTATATATTTTTATTAATTATTAATAACAAGATTTACTTGTTTTCTATTATTAATAATGTTTTCTTCTTCAGATATCTTCAAGCGAGTATCTTCTTCCTACATATAAATAAAGAAACAATAAATAAATAATAATAACAATATTCTAAATAAAGAAAAAAACAATAAATATAAAAGAAGAAACTTACTCCTTTATTTATATCTTCTTGAGATATATCCATAATAATACACTTCACTTAATATTGTTGTTGACAATAACACGCAACAGGTGACAGCTAACCTTTCCTATCAGTCCCGTCATTATTACTTCGAGATGTATATACCAATGTCACCAACATTCCCTATCCGGATACTACAACGAATCTCATTGGTGAATCATTTTTCCTCTTAGGTTCACACAGCAGCCAATGAGAGACCGTATTGACGAAATAATACTCATTTTTCACTTTTTATTAATAGAATAAATAACGATAATAATACGCTTTAAACCTTCCTTGATTAATAAGAAACTTATGTTCCAAAGTTGATATAAAACTATGCAGTAGTTATCGAGAATTAAGGTCACGACCGATCCGGGCTCGATGAAACGCATACTTCCTCTCTTTTCGCCAACCTACGGTTGGCAGCAGTCGGGAGAAAAACAATGTCATATATATCAATTATATAATATTGGCAGTAGAATTTTTTATAATGAATGAGTATATTTATGCAAATAAATAAAATATAACACTTTCATTGAAATCTATTAACATTTACCTTAACATTGTTAAATTTTTCTCCCAACGCTGAAAAGGTACCGAACATGTATTCCAGAGCTTTAAACATAGGATACCAAGCTATATAATCTTCTTCTCGATGCAGATACTTTATGATATCCCAGAATAGATATGAATCGAGTTGGCCTGCTATCATTAAATGAAATGCATCATCGATAATTTGTGCACGATTAAGAACATGAATTTTCGTGTAATCTTCAAAGTTTAGAAAATTTGAAATTCTTTGCCAATTCTCGATATCGTAGTTCACGCGGTAATATCCTGTCGAATAGTAAATAAATTTTATCAATTTCTGTTGTTTTGAATAATTGTAGTATTATAATGTATTTATTTTCAAAAATGTCTGTTTCATAACGTATGAAAAATTTAATATATATAAAACGCATATACATATAGAAAACTTATTATAAATGAAAAATACAACTGTGCAAGATATTATAATATAGCATAAAATAAAATTGATTCTAGTTGAGCATTAATCATGTAATATTTATTTTATATTAATCAGTAAAATTTTTGTAACATGTAACTTTACGAAAATTGTATGTTTTACTTGTTATTATTATTTTACTAATTTTATAAAAATTGTTGACTTTTTATAATTTTTATTATAATTAGAATAAAATATTTGTAACAATATAATTTGAAAATGAATTGATATTATAATAGAAAACATCAAAATGTAACATATAATTATATATTAGGTGCGCAACTAAGTTCTCGCTGTTTTTTTTATGAAAATGCAACTTTATTGTGAAAAAATGGTTACAAATGAATCATTCAAAGTATTGCCCATCGTTAGCCACAACTTTTTCCCATCTTTCTGGCAGAGCTCGAATACCGTTACGGTAAAAGTATTCGTCTTTTGAGGCTATCCACAAATCAAGCCATTTTTTGATGTCTTCATATGAGCGGAACTGCTGATCAGCCAGACCATGTGCCATCGAACGGAACAAGTAATAATCGGACGGCGCAATATCTGGGGAATATGGCGGGTGGGGTAGGACTTCCCATTTGAGCGTTTCCACGTAAGTTTTAACGGGTTTGGCAACATGAGGCCGAGCGTTGTCATGCAGTAGAATCACTTTTTCGTGCCTCTGCTCGTATTGCTCGCTTGGAAATGGCTTGGCGGGTAACTCCTAATGCTGAAGCAAGCTGTTCTTGCGTTTGGCATGGATCCTCATCGAGCAATGCCTCCAATTCAGCGTCTTCGAAGGTTTTTGGCCTTCCTTCACGCGGACGGTCGTCAACATCGAAATCACCGTCTTTGAAGCGACGGAACCAATCACGGCACGTTGTTTCACTTAGAGCAGCATCTCCGTAAACTTTTTGGAGCTCTCGATGCGCTTCAGCCGCCGTTTTCTTCGAATGAAATAAGAAAATCAACACTTCCCGCAAATGACGATTATTTGGTACAAAATCAGACATTTTCACACAACTAAAAGTATATGACGCCAAAACAAAATCATTAACATGTCAAAGCGGTTTGTTTACCATATGTCTAAGCTTGGCTCGTGACGTTTTGGATATGTCAAAATCGACCAGCACTTACTACTGGAGCCATCTATAGACAAACAGCGGGAACTTAGTTGCGCACCTAATATAGATAATGCAGATTATTACATAAAATATTTAAGAATTATTATAGTTATATAATGAATATCTCATATTTTTATTGGACAATGAGTATAATAGATAAAAATATAAAATAATTTCAATTATGTTTGTATAAAATAAAGACAAGAAGTAAATCATAATAAGTCCCTTGGTCGATATCATTAAATGAAATTCATCATCGACTTACCAATTTGTTGTACATTGAATATCATCCAATAACTTTCATTAAGTGCTAATGATAATTTTAAATTCTCTTTCACGCATACCATATGATCTGTAAAATTGTTAAAATTGGGTAACGCTCCCGTAGTAAAAGTTACAGAAAGGCAGTCAATTTTTAATGTGTCGGTATATTGTATCGATATATTTACTTCGCTTATAGTATTCGAAATATTTCGTATTATTTTTATGATAGGACAATGCGTTTCCATATGCCACAAATTTAATATTTGTATAGAACGGTATGGTTTTTTTGCAGCATTAACAATTTTGTCTATAAAAAGCCCCATATGTTGTCTAAATCCATCCAGTATGTAAAATATAGAAAAGAACATTACAAATATGTTAAAATTGTCCGTATAACGTTATTATTACAAAAAATTTAAATAAATACTACGAAACAAAATGTAAAATTGCACTTTTATTTATATATTTATATTATAATAATAAAGAATATAACATAATGTTACATAAAAAAGTAATAGCAAATTTTGCCCATTTTTGGAACCTTGAATTTTACTCTTTTATGGCAAATAGTATTATTAGATGAAATATTAATCCCTGTAAAACCACCTCCGAAGATACAAGGAGATGAAAGTGATAAATTTTTAATCAGAGATGAGAAACTGTCACTTTCACTTCTTTATATTTCCGGAATCGTGCTTATGCTCATCTTGAAATTTCTCTGGATTATTGTCTCATCATATAGTACTATTTGACATAAAAAAAATTTGAAGATTGAGGTCCCAAAATTCGATTACATATAATGGGCAAAGAAACAGGTCTTTGTGCCATCACTCTCTAATAATTTTATTAAATTTTTTGAACATTATTAAAATAATATAGATTATATTAACTTAATATAGATTATATATGAGCAAAGTCTTGAGAGAGTCATAAAATAATTAAAACAAATAAGGAATTCAAGACAAAACGAAAATATAAAGATTAATATAAGGAAGATCGATTAACGAGAGACAAAAATTAAAATGGGAAAGTAACAAAAAAGAGATATAAGTATTAGATATTTGAAAACCTGTTAAATATCTGTTAAATAGATTAAAAAACAAATGTAGCACAAAATGCAATTAAAAAAAAAGAAATTATAAGAATAATAGACGATGTAATAAAATAAACGAAATAATAAAAAAATAAAAATAATTTATCAATTATTTTAAAAAATGACAAATTGTGAAACAAAAATAAAAGAACAATGAATATGTATATAAAAAAGTGACAACGATCCAACAACAATTTCTTTCTACCAAAACAGTTTCGTAGTAAAAATAATGAAATTAAATATAATAGTTTTACACAATTAAATTTTTTTAAATTATATTCTATATTATATTACTTACTTGCCAAATACATATGGGCGAACGGTTTCCCAAAAGAATTCTTCGGTGTAAGCGTATTGCATCATGCGTATTACACAAGGTGCTACAATTTACATCAAAATTATAAATTAAATATATTATAAATATATAATTATTTTAAAAATTACATATAAACCTAATGATTTAAAAAAAAAAAATTATATTTTATATGTATACAAAGTAGTAGTCGTGTAACAGTAAAATGAAATTTCTCGTTAATTCTTATGAAGACAGCAAAACATTAAAGGACCATTTAACTTCCTCTACCTACATATTCGCGGTTGTTACCGTACACTTTATTTATAAAAATTATTAAAATTATTTATAACACACACACGCGCGCATGCATCTGTGCACACACACACTCACACACACAATATATAGAGAGGGGCAAAAGTTCCGGAACGACAATATAGCTCAGAAAATATTGATTTAATAAAAAAATTTTTTAAACAAAAGTAGTAAAACTTAGAAAATTATATGGTGATATTATCTCTTTGACTTTGAGACGATCTTGAAAAGCACGGTCAATGTCAACTTTATAAGTTTAATCGGAATCTCCTATTTCGTATTACATATTCTCATAGTTAACGTCGAGACCTTACTAAAACACTATAATAAAACATTTTATTATTAAATACTTTTCGAGTTATAAAGATTTGAAGTTTATCTTGCTGAATAAAATATTATTAATAAAATATTAATTTTTCGGTAATCATATCTGAATACATTTATGTATGAAGTATATACATACATACACAAACAACTTTATTGTAAAATATCCCTACAATAATTTCTTGAACAATTTATTTTAGAAAAAAACGTTTTAAATAAATGTTGTATGATTGTTGTATGAGTGTTGTGATATCTAAAAAAAAACAATTGACCGCTACTGACTTTTTTTAAAACTAATATTTATGGTCATTTAAAACTTACTATTTTTTAAGGGATCTACTTTATTTTTTATAAATCGATTTTTTGTAATATTCATTATCGAAACAATAAATTGTAAGGATAACATAATCATAAAGAAAATATTTTATAGGGTATTTTATACCTTTGATACATTATTTTACATAAACGTAAATATAACATCTCAAGAAACATTCATGTTTCTACGATCTCGTCTCATAATTTTGTATATAAAATAATGAGAAATGTCAATAATTTTGCAAAAAAACAACAGTTGTTTTTAAGGATATGTATGGAGCTGCTAATTGCAAATTACATATACACATCTATATTGTTTGTATGTGTGTATGTGTGTGTATGTACTTTTATAAAATAAACATATTACTAAAATCCAAATAAAGAATTATTTATCTTAAAACTTTTACACATATTTTTATAATATTTAAAATTAAAAATTTACGCGGACAATTTTATTATATTACGTCTTACCTCTGATGGATTCGCGAATTTTAATAAACTGTCATCTTGTAAAGGAGAATCCCACATATGATAATCACCATCCAAAGAAAAAGAATTATGTTGATTTTGAACAACAAATAAATTCATTATTTGATATCTTGGATAAACCTTTAAAAAAAATTAATAAATATATCAATATAATTGTTTGGAAAATACTTGCAATAAAAACAAATACTAATATTATATTAACGTTTCTTCTATGTTAATTAGAAAATTTTTTCATTAAATAAAAAAACACATATAAATGAATATAATAAATCTTAAATTTTGTATTAATATTATTAACAAATATTATATACTATTAAAATAATTATGTCATGATATTATATAGCAGAGTTCTCCTTAACAAACCAATTAAAATACTTATCGTGTGTACTAGTTTTTAATTAATTAATTTTATTTTTGATTCCATAAAAATTTTAAATTATCTAATAAAATGTTATGAAATAATAAAAAAAATTTTTAATACTTTACATTGTAATTATATGTATATAACAAAGTGTAAACAGTATATTTAAAAAAAACAGTTTAAAATTTCATATAATGTTAAATTGATATAATGTCATTATTCATATAATGTTAAATATTTCTAAAACAATTTACAAAAAATTTATGCACATTTTGTAAAAAGAATTTGATATACGAACATCTTGCAATATAAATGCTTAAGTTTGTTATCATTTTCGAAAAAGTGGGAACGAAATAGCGTTGAAAATAGAATTACCCAATCGACAGCACCTATTGCAAGAAATGTAGTAAGACCAATATTAAACCAAAAAGTTGACAGAAACGGATTGTTCATATTATAAAACCATTGCTGTGCCACTTTATATCCTACAAATTGAGCAACTTGGATTGCGCGAGCAACAGGATATAAATATTTATTAAAAATGATATCTATTTCCCTGAAAGTTACATTTAAATGTCAAGACTGAGAAGTCATAAAAAATACGTAAAAAATAACACTTAATTTTTGTTACAATTTTTTATTTCATTGCTAGAGTTACGATTTACAAACTCAAGGGTACAATTTAGCAAACCAGTATTGTAAATTGCACTAAATAATATTTTTCAAATTTTTAATTTATAATATGAGAAAATGATAAATTTGTGTTAATGTGTATATCGCATTGATAAGAACTATAGATCTAAATGAATATAAAAAATGCCATTTCTTTTATAGTTTTATTGCTATTTAAACATTTACTTTTTAAGGGGTACGACTTATCATACCTTCTCTTTTATGTATGTATTAAAACAGTAAATTTCAATTTTTTAAATATTACGAATAAATTTATTCTTACTAAAACTGTTTGTCTTCAAAATTTTTTGTACTTTCAAAAGTTTACAGATATAAAATACATATACATGTTTTCAACTTTATAAATTTGCATACAAATATAATTTCATTTTTAATGTAATTTATAACACTTTTACTCACCTATAAAAAACAAATCCGAAAATTATGATGCCTTTGTCATGAAAATTTGAAATTGCAGCATGAGTGGCGTGCGAAGTATTGTTCAAACGCATCCAATGACTTTCAAAAACTGACGTAATAAGATTAGCTACACTTTCTGCAAATTCTATGTCAAATAAGGATTCGATCCTGCACCATATTTTAATTTTCGAGGTTTGTTTTTATCAATGGTTAGGTCATTAGACACAAGCATTGTTACGAGATAAGGCGATATTGCAGGTGTGGTATCAAAGTGTGTCCATAACATACTGTGCTCATCAGTTTCCGTATTTCGCAATGGCATATTTGACAAAGCCGTGCATAGTTCACAACCTATAGATATGTTAAAGGTTGCTTCTAATAAAAATCGGTTATCCCAACAATCAATTATTTGTGGAATGTCTATTATCTGGAAGTTCAGAGCAGCTAGCCAACTACGTTTCAAAAAAAATAAATCATTGAAACATTTTTGGCAATATAATAATATTGGAAATTAAAAAATGTGTAAATCTAATATGTAATAATGTGTACTATAGATAAAGATTGTTTGTTCTTATATTTAAATTTTACGATATAATAACTTTTTTAGCATTTAATACATAAATAGTATATTAATTACAATGTTTTATGTAATTGCATATTGTATACTTTTTAATAAACGTTTTTTAAAAATTTATTACTTAATTCCGAAGATTTGATCAACTTTACCAAAATATTTTATATTTAAAGTATAATTTTCTGGTGACAATTTATTTCCAAAGACAATATTAATTGTATCTCCACTACGATTATATGTCGGTTTATATACTGTAACCTTATCATTCTTATGATATTTTTCAATATTTGTAAATAAAGTTATATTGTTAATACATATTTCTCCTGACTGTAAATATATGTGTCGCGTTTTGCTAAGAATGTTTATGCTGATATTGTATTCTCCATAGAAAATATTTGCTTCAATTTGTGATGTAAGCTTGATATCATAATGTATTGGTTTTACATATTTTGATGGTAGATAGCATAAAGATTCATTACGAATGAAAACCGTCGCAACGATAAAAATTAATCCGCTACTTAATAATAGTTTTATAATTATCATTATGTTGAAAAAAAGGAATATTTATTTTAGATTCGGAAAACACTCTGGACAAAAAATAAATAAAAAACTTAAATATAGCTTTGATGTATTTTTAAATAATTTTTGTATATAAACAAAGAAATAAACACTTTTTATAATACATTGCCCTTATAAGAGAATTTATCGAATACAAATTGTAAGCAGTTGTTCTATTTTTACTTTTTTTAATTCTATACATTATCTTTAACAACAAAGTTAATATTTGATTTTTGTTACTTGTTATAGTTAATTTATTAGTAAATTATAGTTAATTATTTAAGTATTAAAATACGCGCAGATGTTTTTTTATAAAATATAAGTACGACAAATTGTAGAGAATTATTATTGTAGAGAATTAATTTTAGTAATCTAATTGCGAAAGGATAATTAAAAGTGTTTTGCTATATATTATAATATTTATAATTTGTTACGTAAATTATAGTATTTTTAAGTTTTAAAAATAATTTATTCTATATCAAACTTTTATAGGTCCACGATTTTCTGTAATACATTACAATTCATAAAATATTATAATATCGACACTATTTGAAATTATCTCTGGATTATAATTTAAAGATATCCTTTTATACTAATTATATTTTCTTTATACTAATATGTTGGAAATTCTTCAAAATACCATTATACTGTATGATTAAATGTTTTTGTACTTGAAGACAAATATATGTTTTTATATTTATAACTCATTTTGACTTACCTAATATTTTGAATATTAACTGTAAAGTTATATTAATAAAAATTATATATTTGTTAAATTACTGTAGCAAATTAATGCTTTAATAATTTGCAATGTTCAAAAAATATAATTATACACACACTTTATTACATTCATTATATCGACCACAATATGGTTCAAAAGACCACGAGAGACTGACTGATTCTCTGTACATGTCATTATGATACATATGATGTGTCAAGTCAACAAAACTTTTGTTAAGGTTGTTATATACATATACAGGGTGTCACTTAATTGGCACCCAATATTTATATAGCGATATTCCTCGTGGAAAACTGAGTCGAAATGTCTTGCATCATTTTTTTATGTAAGGCATAATAAAATAGTGATTATTCAGTAATGTATAATTGTTACTGAATAATTACTACAAATAATTACTAAAAATATGAGTCCTAGAAAAAATATTAAGTGCTGGGTTTTTATGATTCTTTCCTGGCCATCTGAACGTCAGATAGCCAAGAAAAAATTATATATATATATATATATATATATATATACTGTGTCTGTATTAGAGTGTGTCAAAAAAAATTTTGTTCAATTTTTGTCCGCAGCTCAGCTAAAAAGTTCGAGAAGATAATAATTACTCTAACGTGCCAACTCTAATTAATTTTATTTGAAGATTCCACATACGTTTTGAAATTTTTCTATTTAAATAACAAATACGAGTTTTTCTCAAAAAATTTGTCTTTATCAAAATAAATTAAAACAATTCAAAATTTGGTCTTAGTACTGATACGACCGTGTTGATAATTATTATAAAAAAGTAAACTAAGGACGAAGTGGAAAAATTAATAAAAAATTTTATGATTTTTTTACATCCACAGATCAGTAATAAAATCTTTCAAAATATTTTATCTGTCTTTCGGTTTGATTGTTCCGATTCGTTATCTGTTTTGTAACGTGGTAATATAAGTCATCTTTATTTACCATAATGTCATTCATCTAAAATAAATCGTTTTATAAATTATAATATAATTAAATAAAATGTAATCTTATTCCGCATTATGACCATGTAATATTGTATATAAAATAAAAGATTCGCACAATGAAATTGACATACCTTTTATATAACAAATAAAACAAACATAAAAATATTATTCAGGAATTGATAAAATAAAACAATATTTCTTTTTCTTTCGCTTTTCATAATAATATTTATTAAATTTACCTCTTTTATTTGATGTATTTTAAATAAACCATCTGTGTCATTTACTTCAACTAAATTATTGTCTAAAATATCTCTAACTTTCCCTGATATTTGCTATAAAGTATTATTTTTCTAACATTATCAATATTATTTTAAACATTAAATAATAATTATTATTATCACATAATTACCATATTTTGTATACATATTTAAACAAGTAAAATTTTTACCTGAGTTAGATTTGTAAAATATACGTTATTAATCATAATAATTAATGCTGCAATTATATTAATCTCTCTATAAAAACAAAAAAACAAATGCATATATAATACACATAATAAACTTCTGTACACAATATTTATAAAAATGTCACCTTACTTTGGTTTCACTTCATTAAAATGATCTAATATGTACTTCAGTATAGTTGGATTCTTTGCATGCTTTGTAACAATATGAAAGAAACTGTTAACATCAAGTTGATATTCCTGTTTTATAGAATGGTACCGTTTATTTTTTAAATAATAGATGATGACATCAATATCTTCAGGGCAAGCCAAGTATTCCAAAAATTTAGCGTCAGATTTAAACACTCCTATATCAAACACTGATTTCCAAGTGGTCTCGTTTATGGTAGTTGTCATCAAACCTTTACAATATGTCCATTCCTTCCACCATGGAAAAAGTCTGAAATATAAAATTCAATTTATTTATTAAAGCTTAGCATATGAATTTTTTGACTAAATAATGAGAACATTATAAGCGATACCTGCAAGGAAATTTATTTAAAAATTGCTAAAAGTGTATAACTATATTTACTTGTGTATTTGAGAATGTTTGATATGTCGTTTTAATTTATTGTTGGCTTCTGTTTTACAAGTAAAGTCACCGAAAAAACATGCCCATCTTGCAGCTTCTTGTCGTAAACACTTTCTAAGTTCGTCTGTCTCATGAATTTCTTCGTATTTGATTTCTCTAAGTACCTTGCCTAATATGTGTCTTATTAGTTCTTAAAAATCGTTAATATTTGTTTCTCTGGTTAATTAATATGTTTGAGCCCGCGTTTAGTCCAAATCCAACTTTCGGTCGAATGTCCCTGGACTAATTGTAAGAATTACATCCCGTCATATGTTGCGTCCGCGAAACGATTTCGATAATCACTCGGACCGCGCGATATAATTAGGACCCCTCCTCGAAAATATAATTAAATTTGTGCGAAATGTTAATAATTATAAATCATTGACAAAGATTGTAAACACCCAGCTATATATCCAAAAACAATGTTATATATATATATATATATATATATATATATATATATATATATCAATAATATTAGCAGTAGTGAGAATCAAACACTTTGGAGCCTGTTCTTCACGTGAGTGATTATTCAAACTGAATGTATTTACACATTTATATGCGACATAATAAATAGTATGTAAAATTTTATCGTTGCCGTATATATTTTTCTGAGTATTTGAACTTTTTGTAGTAAATGAGTGTATTACGCAAATATCTGAAATATAACATTTTCATTGAAATCTATTAAAATTTACCTTTATTTCCTCAATTTGTTTTCCAAACGCTGAAAATGTACCGAATATGTATTCCAGAGCTTTAAACATAGGATACCAAGCTATAAAATCTTCGTCTCGATGCAGATACATTATGATATCCCAGAATAGATATGAATCAAGTTGGCCTGCTATCATTAAATGAAATCAATAATTTGGGCACGATTAAGAACATGAATTTTCGTGTAATATTCAGAGTTTAAATAATTTGAAATTCTTTGCCAATTCTCCTTATCATAGTTCACGCGGTAATAACCTGTAGAATAGCAAATAAATTTTATACATTTTATTATTTTAAATATTATTTGAATAATTTTATCATTATGTACATTTTGTACATATTTATTATTTTAAATATTATTTAATAATTTTATCATTATAATGCATTTATTTTCAAATATTTTGGTTTCTTCCTCTTGTTTATATAAATTATAAATCAAAAACGTATTAAAAATTTAATACAAATAAATAAAATGCACATACATATGTAGAAAATTAATTACAAATAAAAAATAAAACTATGCAACATATTGTTGTATAGCATAAAATAAAATTGATTCTAGTTGTACATAAATTATGTAATAATTATTTTATTTTGTAACGTGTAACTTTACGAAAATTGTAGCTTTTACTTATATCTATATTACTATATTTTTATAAATATAATTAACATTTTATAATTTTTATTATTATTAGAATAAAATATTTGTAAAAATATAACTTTAAAATTGATTGATATTATAATAGAAAACACCAATAAATATCTTAAATTTTTAAAGAGCAATATATAAAATAAATAAAAATATAAAATAATGTTATTTTTGTGTGTAGAATAAAGACGAGAAACAAGTTATAATAAGTCCCTTGGTAGATATTATTAAATAAAACGCATCATCAACTTACCAATTTGTTGTATATTGAATATCATCCAACCACTCTCATTAGATGTTAATGACAATTTTAAATCCTTTCCCACGCACACCATATAATGAGTAAAATTTTTAAAATGGGGACACGCTTCCCTAGTAAAAGTTACAGGAAGGCAGTCAATTTCTAATGTGTCGATATATTGTATCGATACATTCACTTTGTTCATGGTATCCCCATAATTTCGTATTATTTTTATGATAGGACAATAATGCGTTTTCTTATACCGTCCAGTCATTAATTGCCGTGTAATATGTTTTCCTACAGCAGCCTCAAGTTTTGCCCCAAACTGCACCATACTTTCGCTAAATTTACAAAAATATTAAATATATAAAAAAACATTATAAATATATTAATAAAAACAAAATATAAAATTGCACTTCTATTTATATATTTATATATCTTATACTTACATTACGACAATAAAGAATATAACATATTTTTACATAAAAGAGTAATGGCAAATTTTGCTCATTTTTGGGACCTTACATTTCAAACTTTTTTTCATGACAAATAGTACTATTAGATGAAACATGAGCATTGGCACAGTTCCAAAGATACAATTGGATGCAAGGGTTAATTTCTAGTCAGGGATGAGAAACTTTCACTATCACTTATTTTTATCTCCAGAACCGTGCCTATGCTCATTTTTAAATTTTTTTAATTGTAAGATTAATGTCTCATCATATAGTACTATTTGAGGTCCCAAAATTCGACTCTATAAATTTGGCAAAAAACAGATCTTTTGTCATCACTCTTTATTAATTTTATTAGATTTGTTATTAGCCTAATATAGATTATATTAGCAGCATAATATAAATTAAATTTGAGAAAATTATTGAGAAAATTATAAAATGATTAAGAGAAGTAATAAAACATATAAAAAGTTGAAGACAAAACAAAAATAAGAAAAATAATATAAAGAAGATCGATTTACGAGAAACGAAAATAAAAATAAGGAAGTGGAAGTGTTATATATTTAAATACCTGTTAAATATTTGTTAAATATATTAAAAAACAAATGTAGTACAAAATGCAATTAAAAGAAAAGAAATTATTAGAGTTATAGACAATAATGAAATAAGGGAAATAATAAAGAAAAAATAAAAATAATTTATAAACTATTTAAAAAATGACAAATCGTGAAACAAAAATAAACAAAACAACAATGAATGCGTATATAAAAAAATGACAACGATGAAACAACAATTTCTCTTTCTACAAAAGCAGTTTTGTACTAAACGTAATGAAATTAAATATAATAGTTTTACATAATTTTATTTTTTAAAATTATACTGTATATTATATTACTTACCTGTCAAGTATATATGAGCGAACGCTTTTCCAAAATAATTGTTTGGTGAAGGCGTGTTGTAACATGCGCACTAAAAAAGATGCTACAATTTAAATCAAAATTATAAATTAGATATGTTATAATTATATAATTATTTTAAAGATTACATATAAACATAATAATTTTAAAAAGAAAAATTATATTTTATATGTATACAAGGGAGTAATCGCGTAACAGTGAAATGAAATTTCTCGTTAATTCTTACGAATATAGCAAGACATTACAGGATCATACAATTTAATTAAATACTTTTCGAGTTATAAAAGTTAAAAGTTAACAATTTTTTACAAAATGTAAAATATCTTGTAAAACATTCAGTTTTTAGTAATTATATTTGAATAAATTTATGTATAGAATATATACATACATACATACACTATTTCATTTTAAAATATCCAAACATTGATTTCTTAAACTTATTTTAGAAATTTTATTTTAGAAAAAATCGTTTTAGATAATAGTTGTTGAATTTTAAAGAAAAATAAGTAAACGCTATTGACTTTTTCCTAAAGGCCAATTTTTATGATCATTGAAAAATCACTTATATTTTTTCAATAGCTCTAGGTACCTTAATTATTTTATATGTCGATTTCTCACAATATTCATTAAGTTTTGTAAGAATAAGATAATCATAAAGAAAATATTTTGTAGGATATTTTATATCTTTAACACATTATTTTACATAAAGATAAATATATCTCAAGAAATATTCATTTTTCCTCGATCATATCTCAACAATTTTGTACATACATAAAATAATCATCTTACCTCTGATGGATTGGCGAATGTTTAATAAACTGTTATTTTGCATAGGAGAATTCCACATATGATAATCACCATCCAAAGAAAAAGAATAATGTTGATTTTGAACAACACACAAATTCATTATTTGAAGTTCTGGATACGTCTATAAAAAAAATTGTTAAGTATATCGAGATAATCGCTCTGAAAATACTTACAACAGACACAAATACTAATATTATATTAGCGTTACTTTTATCTTAAATAGAAACATTTTCTCATTATGAAAAACACATAAATAAGTATATGTAATAAATCTAAAATTATGTATTGACATAATTAACAAATATAATATATTTTTACAATTATTATATCGTAATATTATATAGCAGAATTGTCCTTATCATATACCAATTTGAATAAATATCGTATGTACTAACTTTTAATTATTTAATTTTATTCTAAATTTCATATAAATTAAAGATATCTAATAACGTGGTGATAAAAAAATAAAATATTTTTAATACTTTGCATTATAATTATATGAATAAAACAAAGTGAAAAAAAGTATTTTTAAAGAAATAATTAAATATTTTATACAATGTTAATTTAGCTACGACAATTTACAAAGAATTTATGTGCATTTTGTAATAAAAATTTAATATATGAAAATCTTGCAATATAAATGCTTAATTTTGTCATCGTTTACGAGAAAGTGGGAACAAGATAGCGTTTGAAATAGAATTACCCAATCGACAGCATCTATTGCAAGAAATGTAGTAAGACCCATATTAAACCAAAAAGTTGACAGAAACGGATTGTTCATATTATAAAACCATTGCTGTGCCACTTTATATCCTACGAATTATACTACTTGGATTTTGCGAACAACAGGATATAAAAATCTATTAAAGATGATATCTATTTCCCTGAAAGATGTATTTAAATGTCAAGACTGAGAAATTATGGAAAAAATGTAACTTTATTTTTTTACAATTTTTTCATTTTATTGTAAAATTACGATTTAAAAACTCATGGGTACAATTTAGCAAACCAGTATTTTAAATTGTATCAAATAAGTGCTTTCTTATTTTTTAATTTATTATATAAAAAAATAATAAATTTCTGTCAATTTGTATAACATTGATAAAAATTATAGACCAAAATAAATAAAAAATTGTCATTTCTTTTATAATTTTATTGCAATTTTAACATTTCCTTTAGGGGGTACAATTTAGCTTATATTTACATACTCTCTTCTTTATGTACGTATTAAAACGGTAAACTTCAACTTTTTGAATATTACGAATAAATTTAATCTTACTAAAATTGTTTGTCATCAAAATTTTTCATATTATCGAAAGTTTACAGAAACAAAATACATATACATGTTTTCAACTTTATAAATTTGCATACAAATATAATTTTATTTTTAATGTAATTTGAAGCACTTTTACTCACCTATAAAAAACAAATCCGAAAATTATGATGCTTTTGTCATGGAAATTTGGAATTGCAGCATGAGTGACGTGCGAAATATTGTTTGAATTATTCCAATATCTTTGAAAATCCAACGCGATATTTTCTGCTACACTTTCTGCAAATTCTATGTCAAATGCAGATTGGATCCTGCACCATATTTTAATTTTTCGAGGTTTGTTTTTATCAATGGTTAGGTCATTAGACATAATCATTCTTACGAGATAAGGCGACATTGCAGTTGTGGTATCGAAGTGTGTCCATGACATATTGTGCTTAGATGTTTCCGTCTTTTGCAATGGCATGATTGACAAAGCCGTGCATAGTTTACAACCTATAGATATGTTAAAGGTTGCTTCTATTAAATATTGTTTATCCCAACAATTAATTATTCGTGTGGAGTATATTATCTGGAAATGCAAAGCAGCTAGTTTTTTTCCCATGTTAAAAATTCTGAAACTTTTATCAGCAATACCAATATATTTTATATTTAAAATGTAATTTCCTGGTGATAATTCATCTTTAAAGGCAATTATAATTGTGTCTTTATTAATATAATATTTCGATTTATATATTGTATCTTTATCATTCTCCTGATTTTTGTCAATATTTGTCAATGTTCTTTATACATAATTTTTCTGACCGTAAATATATGTTTCGCCTTTTGTCACAAATGTTTATGCTGATATTGTATTCTTCATAGAAAATATTTTCTTTAATTTCTGATGCAAACTTGATATCGTAATGTATTGGTTTTACATATTCTGGTGATTCATAACATCGAGATTCATTACGAATAAAAGCCGTCGCAGCGATAAAAATTGATCCGCTACTTAATAATAGTTTCAAGAATATCATCATGTCGAAGAAAAGGAATATTTATTTTAGATCTTGAAAACACACTCTGGAAAAGATAAATAAAGAAATTAAATATAGTTTTAATGTATTTTTAAATAATTTTTGTATATAATAAAAAAAATTAAACAATAAAAATATTAACTTATTTTGACTTACTTAATATTTTGGAACAGTATGTTAATTGCAAATTTATATTAAAAAAACTTATATATTTTATAAAATTACTGCACCAAATTAATGCTTTAGCAGTATGCAATGGTCGAAGAATATATTTATTTACACATACTTTATTAGAATTATTGTATCTACCACGATATGGTTCAACAGACCACGAAAGACTGACTGATTCTCTGTACGTGTCATCATGATAAATATGTGTTAGGTCAACAAAACTTTAGAGGTTGTTATATATATATTTATATATATATACAAGGTATCCCAGAACTGGCGAAAAAGTTTATAATGGCATATTCATGGTTTCATTCGGAGACAATTTTTTCTCAGCGAAAATGAAGACACTAATAATTTTCGAATTATAAGCAGTTGAAAATTAAAGCTTTTTTGGAAACTAACATAAAATATCAACTGAACTACATCCTTCAGTTAATTTTAGATAGATTTTGCTTTAATAGAATTTTAATACAAGGCATAGTTATAAAGATACATAATAACAAAAATTAGGAATATGCTACAAATGATGATTTTTCTTAACAATTTTACTAAAGAAAAATTATCTCCAAGTAATACCAGAAATCTGCCATTAAAACTATGCCGACAGTTCTGGGACACCCTGTATATATAACGACCTCTGAAGTTGGAATCATTAAATAAAATCATTTAGAATTGGTTCGTTAGTGTAATTATTATCTTTCCATTAGCTAACTCTTTAGTTGGACAGCGGGCAAAAAATAAACAACAAATTTTTGGACACACTCTGATATATATATATATATATATATATATATATATATATATATATATATATGTTTATATATATATTTCATTTAATGGTTCTACCTTTACCTTGAAATTTTTTCATTTAAATAATATGGAAAATGCGGTTTTTTTTCAATAAATTAGTCTTTATCAAAATCAATTTATACACCTCAAAGTTTGGTCTTAGTAGTTACTATAAAACGTGTTGATAATTATTATAACAAAGTAAATTAAGAAAGAAGTGGTACAAGTAATAAAAACTTATTTAAAGTATTAAAAAAATGCATGATTTTTGCATTTTTTTATTTTCATTAATTTTTTTAACATAATAATAATAATTAATAATTATATATAAATAATAATTATAAACAATATGTAAAGAAATAAAAAAAATAATATTTATAAAACATAAAAATTTACTCATATGAAGTATGTCCACGTATGCAAAAATGACATTTTTTTCAAAACCACATATTATACAAAAAATCTTGCAAAATAATGTTTTTGTCTTGTGATTTGATTCTCCCGATTCATTATCCGTTTTAATATGTCGTCATATAAGTTCTTCTTATTTATCAGAATGTCACTCTAAAATAAAACGTTTTATTAATTATAAAATAATTAAATAAATTGTAATCTTATTCCGCATTTTGACAATGTAATATTGTATATATAATAAAAAAGATTTGCACAATAAAATCAACATATATTTGATTTATAACAAATAAAACATTAGTAAAAATAAGATTCAGGAATTGATAAGATTGGACAATATTTCTCTTTCTTTTGCTTTCCATAATAATATTTATTAAATTTACCTTCTTTATTTGACGTATTTTAAATAAACCTTCTGTGTTATTTACTTCAACTAAGTTAGTGTCTAAAATACGTCCAACATACACTAATATGCGCTAAAATGCATTATTTTTCTAACATTATCAAAATTATTTTAAACGTTAAATAATAATTATTAATATCGCATTATTTTCACATTTTGTATACATATTTTAACAAGTAAAATTTTTACCTCAAATAAATTGGTTGAATAATCATTATTAATAATAATAATTAATGTTGCAATGAAATTAATCTCTCTATAAAAACAAAAAGAAAACAGATGTATATATAATACACATAATAAACTTCTGTACACAATATTTATAAAAATGTCACTTTACTTTGGTTTTACTTCATTAAAATGATCTAATATGTACTTCAGTATTGTTGAATTCTTTGCATGCTTCGTAATAATATGTAAGAAACTGTTAACATCAAGTTGATATTCTTGTTGTATAGAATGATACTGTTTATTTTTTAAATAATAGATGATGACATCAATATCTTCAGGGCAAGCCAAGTATTCCAAAAATTTAGCGTCAGATTTACTCACTCCTATATCAAACACTGATTTCCAAGTAGACTCGTTTATGGTAGTTATCATCAAACCTGTACAATACGTCCATTCTTTCCACCATGGCAAAATTCTAAAATATGAAATTAAATTCTCTTATTAAAAATCAGTAAGTAACTTCTTGATTAAATTATTTGAACATTATAGGCGATACCTAATACAAGGATATTTTATTAGAAAAGGCTAAAGATGTTTAACAATATTTACCTGTGTGATGGAAAATCTTGGATATGTTGTTTTAATTTATTGTTTGCTTCTTTCTTACAAGTGGTGCTACCGAGAAAACAATCCCATCTTGCAGCTTCTTGTCGTAAACACTTTCTAAGTTCGTCTTTCTCATGAATTTCTTCGTATGGAATTTTTTTAAGTACACCGAATAATACGAATTTTATTGTTCCCTAAAAATCGTTAAATATTTATTTTCCTGGTTAATTAATATATTTGAGATCCGCGTTTAGCTCAAGTGCAACTTTCGGTCAAACGTCCCTGGACTATGAATTACATCTCCTAAAATATTGCGTTCGCGGAGCGATTTTAATAATCACTCAAACCGTGCGACACAATTGAGGCTATCTTAAAAAATTAGATTAAATTTGTGAGAAAGTTTTATAATTATAAATCATTGACAAAGATTGTAAACACCCAGCTATATATCCAAAAACTATGTCATATATATCAATTATATAATATTGGCAGTAGTGAAAATCAAACACTTTGGGGCCTGTTCTGCACGTGAGTGATTAATTTATTTGCACATTTATTTGCGACATAATTAATAGTATGTAAAAGTTTATCGTTGCGGTATATATTTTTCTGAGTATTTGAATTTTTTATAGTGAATGAATATATTTATGCAAATAACTAAAATATAACACTTTCATTGAAATCTATTAACATTTACTTTAACATTGTTAAATTTTTCTCCCAACGCTGAAAGGGTACCGAACAGGTATTCTAGAGCTTTAAACATAGGATACCAAGCTATATAATCTTCTTCTCGATGCAGATACTTTATGATAACCCAGAATAAATATGAATCGAGTTGGCCTGCTATCATTAAATGAAATGCATCATCGATAATTTGTGCACGATTAAGAACATGAATTTTCGTGTAATCTTCAAAGTTTAGATAATTTGAAATCCTTTTCCAGTTCTCGATATCGTAATTCACGCGGTAATATCCTGTGAAATAGTATATAAATGTTATTAATTTCTATTGTTTTGAATAATTTTATCATTATATTGTATTTATTTGCAAAAAAGTCTGTTTCATATTTTTGTTTATATAAATTTATTATAAAAACGTACGAAAAATTTAATATAAAACGCATATACATATAAAAAAACTTATTATAAACGAAAAATACAACTGTGCAGGATATTATAGTATAACATAAAATAAAATTGATTCTAGTTGAGCTTAAATCATGTAATATTTATTTTATATTAATCAGTAAAATTTCTGTAACATATAATCTTAGGAAAACTGTATGTTATACTTGTTATTATTATTTTACTAGTTTAATAATAAAAATTGTTAAATTTTTATAATTTTTATTTTAATTAGAATGAAATATATGTAAACATATAATTTGAAAATTATGTGATATTATAATAGAAAACACCAATATATAACATATAATTATATATAGATAATGCAGATTATTACATAAAATATTTAAGAATTATTATAGTTATATAATGAATATCTCAGATTTTTATTGGACAATGAGTATAATAGATAAAAATAAAAAATAATTTCAATTTTGTTTATAAAAAATAAAGACAAGAAGTAAGTCATAATAAGTCCCTTGGTCGATATCATTAAATGAAATTCATCATCGACTTACCAATTTGTTGTACATTGAATATCATCCAATAACTTTCATTAAGTGCTAATGATAATTTTAAATTCTCTTTCACGCATACCATATAATCTGTAAAATTGTAAAAATCGAGTGACGCTTCTGTAGTAAAAGTTACAGGAAGGCAGTCAATTTTTAATGTGTCGGTATATTGTATCGATATATTTACTTCGCTCATAGTATCCGAAATATTTCGTATTATTTTTATGATAGGACAATGCGTTTCCATATGCCACAAATTTAATATTTGTATAGAACGGGATGGTTTTTTTGCAGCATTAACAATTTTGTCAATAAAAAGCCCCATATGTTGTCTAAATCCACCCAGTATGTAAAATATATAAAAGATCATTACAAATATGTTAAAATTGTCCGTATAACGTTAATATTACAAAAAAATTAAATAAATACTAAGAAACAAAATGTAAAATTGCACTTTTATTTATATATTTATATTATGATAATAAAGAATATAACATAATGTTACATGAAAAAGTAATGGCAAATTTTGCCCATTTTTGGAACCTTGAATTTCACTTTTTTTATGGCAAATAGTACTATTAGATGAAATATTAATCCCTGTAAAACCACCGTTCCGAAAATACAAGGAGATGAAAGTGATAATTTTTTAGTCAGAGATGAGAAACTGTTACTTTCACTTCATTATATTTCCGGAATCGTGCTTATGCTCATCTTGAAATTTCTCTGGATTATTGTCTCATCATATAGTACTATTTGACATAAAAAAAAATTGAAATTTTAGGTCCCAAAATTCGATTACATATAATGGGCGAAGAAACAGGTCTTTGTGCCATCACTCTCTAATAATTTTATTAAATTTTTTGAGCATTATTAAAATAATAGAGATTATATTAGCTTAATATAGATTATATTTGAGCAAAGTCTTGAAAGAGTCATAAAATAATTAAAACAAATAAGGAATTCAAGACAAAACGAAAATATAAAGATTAATATAAGAGAGATCGATTTACAAGAAACAAAAATTAAAATGGGAAAGTAACAAAAAAAAGATATTAGTATTAGATATTTAAAAACCTATTAAATATCTGTTAAATAAATTAAAAAACAAATGTAGCACAAAATGCAATTAAAAGAAAAGAAATTATAAGAATTATAAACGATGTAATAAAATAAAGGAAATAATAATAGAATAAAAATAATTTATCAATTATTTTAAAAAATGACGAATCGTGAAACAAAAATAAAACAACAATGAATATGTATATGAAAAAGTGACAACGATCAAACAACAATTTCTTTCTACAAAAGCAGTTTTGTAGTAAAAGTAATGAAATTAAATATAATAGTTTTACACAATTTTATTTTTTTTAATTATATTCTATATTATATTACTTACTCGCCAAATACATATGGGCGAACGGTTTTCCAAAAGAATTCTTCGGTGTAAGCGTATTGCATCATGCGTATTACACAAGGTGCTACAATTTACATCAAAATTATAAATTAGATATATTATATATATATAATTATTTTAAAAATTACATATAAACCTAATGATTTTAAAAAGAAAAATTATATTTTATATGTATACAAAGTAGTAGTCGTGTAACAGTAAAATGAAATTTTTCGTTAATTCTTGTGAAGACAGCAAAACATTAAAGGACCATTTAATTTCCTCTATCTACATATTCACGGTTATTACCGTACACTTTATTTATATAAATACACACACACACGCGCGCATGCACCTGTGCACGCACACACTTACACACACAATATATAGAGAGGGGCAAAAGTTCCGGAACGACAATATAGCTCAGAAAATATTGATTTAATAAAAAAATTTTTAAACAAGATTTTTTTTATTAAATACTTTTCGAGTTATAAAGGTTTGAAGTTTATCTTGCTGAATAAAATATTATTAATAAAATATTCAGTTTTCGGTAATCATATCTGAATACATTTATGTATGGAGTATATACATACATACACAAACAATTTTATTGTAAAATATCCCTACAATAATTTCTTGAACAATTTATTTTAGAAAAAAACGTTTTAAATAAATGTTGTATGATTGTTGTATGAGTGTTGTGATTTCTAAAGAAAAACAAGTGACCGCTACTGACTTTTTCTTAAAGCCAATTTTTATGGTCATTTAAAACTTACTATCTTTTTAATGGATCTACTTTAATTTTTATAAATCGATTTTCTGTAATATTCATTATCGAAACAATAAATTGTAAGGATAACATAATCATAAAAAAAATATTTTATAGGGTATTTTATACCTTTGATACATTATTTTACATAAACGTAAATATAACATTTCAAGAAACATTCATGTTTCTACGATCTCGTGTCATTAATTTTGTATATAAAATAATGAAAAATGTCAATATTTTCGCAAAAAACCACAGTTGTTTTTAAGGAAAATTATGGAGCTGCTAGTTGCAAATTACATATACACATCTATAGTGTTTGTGTGTGTATGTGTGTGTATGTACTTTTATAAAATAAACATATTACGAAAATCCAAATAAAGAATTATTTATCTCAAAACTTTTACACATATTTTTATAATTTTAATAATTAAAAATTTACGCGGACAATTTTATTATATTAGGTCTTACCTCTGATGGATTCGCGAATTTTTAATAAACTGTCATCTTGTAAAGGAGAATCCCACATATGATAATCACCATCCAAAGAAAAAGAATTATGTTGATTTTGAACAACAAATAAATTCATTATTTGATATCTTGGATAAACCTTTAAAAAAAGTTAATAAATATATCAATATAATTGTTTGGAAAATACTTGCAATAAAAACAAATACTAATATTATATTAACGTTTCTTCTATGTTAATTAGAAAATTTTCTCATTAAATAAAAAAACACATATGAATGAATATAATAAATCTAAAATTTTGTATTAATATTATTAACAAATATTATATACTATTAAAATAATTATGTCATGATATTATATAGCAGAGTTCTCCTTATCAAACCAATTAAAATACTTATTGTGTGTACTAGTTTTTAATTAATTAATTTTATTTTTGATTCCATAAAAATTTTAAATTATCTAATAAAATGTTATAAAATAATAAAAATAATTTTTAATACTTTACATTGTAATTATATGTATATAACAAAGTGTAAAAAGTATATTTAAAAAAAACAGTTTAGAATTTCATATAATGTTAAACATTTATTATGCATATAATGTTAAATTGATATAATGTCATTATTCATATAATGTTAAATATTTCTAAAACAATTTACAAAAAATTTATGCACATTTTGTAAAAAGAATTTGATATACGAACATCTTGCAATATAAATGCTTAAGTTTGTTATCATTTTCGAAAAAGTGGGAACGAAATAGCGTTGAAAATAGAATTACCCAATCGACAGCACCTATTGCAAGAAATGTAGTAAGACCAATATTAAACCAAAAAGTTGACAGAAACGGATTGTTCATATTATAAAACCATTGCTGTGCCACTTTATATCCTACTTTTTGAGCAACTTGGATTGCGCGAGCAACAGGATATAAAAATGTATTAAAGATGATATCTATTTCCCTGAAAGTTACATTTAAATGTCAAGACTGAGAAGTCATAAAAAATACATAAAAAATAAAGCTTAATTTTTGTTACAATTTTTTATTTCATTGTTAGAGTTACGATTTACAAACTCATGGGTACAAGTTAGCAAACCAGTATTGTAAATTGCACTAAATAATATTTTTCAGATTTTTAATTTATAATATGAGAAAATGATAAATTTGTGTTAATGTGTATATCGCATTGATAAGAACTATAGATCTAAATGAATATAAAAAATGCCACTTCTTTTATAGTTTTATTGCTATTTGAACATTTACTTTTTAAGGGGTACGACTTATCATACCTTCCCTTTTATGTACGTATTAAAACAGTAAATTTCAATTTTTTAAATATTACGAATAAATTTATTCTTACTAAAAATGTTTGTCTTCAAAATTTTTTGTACTATCAAAAGTTTACAAAAACAAAATACATATACATGTTTTCAACTTTTTAAATTTGCATACAAATATAATTTTATTTATAATGTAATTTAAAACCCTTTGCTCACCTATAAAAAACAAATCCGAAAACTATGATGCCTTTGTCATGGAAATTCGAAATTGCAGCATGAGTGGCGTGCGAAGTATTGTTCAAACGCATCCAATGTCTTTCAAAAACTGACGTAATAAGATTAGCTACATTTTCTGCAAATTCTATGTCAAATAAAGATTCGATCCTGCACCATATTTTAATTTTTCGAGGTTTGTTTTTATCAATGGTTAGGTCATTAGACACAAGCATTGTTACGAGATAAGGCGATATTGCAGGTGTGGTATCAAAGTGTGTCCATAACATACTGTGCTTATCAGTTTCCGTATTTCGCAATGGCATATTTGACAAAGCCGTGCATAGTTCACAACCTATAGATATGTTAAAGGTTGCTTCTAATAAAAATCGGTTATCCCAACAATCAATTATTTGTGGAATGTCTATTATCTGGAAGTTCAGAGCAGCTAGCCAACTACGTTTCAAAAAAAATAAATCTTTGAAACATTTTTGGCAATATAATAATATTGGAAATAAAACAATGTGTAAATGTAATATGTAATAATGTGTACTATAGATAAAGATTGTTTGTTCTTATATTTAAATTTGACGATATAATAACTTTTTTAGCATTTAATACATAAATAGTATATTAATTACAATGTTTTATGTAATTGCATATTGTATACTTTTTAATAAACGTTTATTAAAAATTTATTACTTACATTGTTTTTCTTTCCACGTCAATAATTCCGAAGATTTGATCAACTTTACCAAAATATTTTATATGTAAAGTATAATTTTCTGGTGACAATATATTTCCAAAAACAATATTAATTGTATCTCCACTACGTTTATATGTCGGTTTATATACTGTAACCTTATCATTCTTATGATATTTTTCAAAATTTGTAAATAAAGTTATATTGTATATACATATTTCTCCTGACTGTAAATATATGTGTCGCGTTTTGCTAAGAATGTTTATGCTGATATTGTATTCTCCATAGAAAATATTTGCTTCAATTTGTGATGTAAGCTTGATATCATAATGTATTGGTTTTACATATTTTGATGGTAGATAGCATAAAGATTCATTACGAATGAAAACCGTCGCAACGATAAAAATTAATCCGCTACTTAATAATAGTTTTATAATTATCATTATGTTGAAAAAAAGGAATATTTATTTTAGATTCGGAAAACACTCTGGACAAAAAATAAATAAAAAACTTAAATATAGCTTTAATGTATTTTTAAATAATTGTTGTATATAAACAAAGAAATAAACACTTTTTATAATACATCGCCCTTATAAGGAGATTTATCGAATACAAATTGAAAGCAGTTGTTTTATTTTCACTTTTTTAATTCTATACATTATCTTTAACAACAAAATTAATATTTGATTTTTGTTACTTGTTATAGTTAATTTATTAGTAAATTATAGTTAATTATTTACATATTAAAATACGCGCAGATGTTTTTTTATAAAATATAAGTACGACAAATTGTAGAGAATTAATTTTAGTGATCTAATTGCGAAAGGATAATTAAAAGTGTTTTGCTATATATTATAATATTTATAATTTGTTACTTAAATTATAGTATTTCTAAGTTTCATAAATAATTTATTCTATATCAAATTTTATGGGTCCACGATTTTCTACATTACAATTCATAAAATATTATAATATCGACACTATTTGAAATTATCTGTGGATTATAATTTAAAGATATCCTTTTATACTAATTATATTTTCTTTATACTAATATGTTGGAAATTCTTCAAAATTCCATTATACTGTATGATTAAATGTTTTTGTACTTGAAGACAAATATATGTTTTTATATTTTTAACTCATTTTGACTTACCTAATATTTTGGATATTAACTGCAAAGTTTAATTAATAAAAATTATATATTTGTTAAATTACTGTAGCAAATTAATGCTTTAATAATTTGCAATGTTCAAAAATATAATTATACGCACACTTTATTACAATCATTATATCTACCACAATATGGTTCAAAAGACCACGAGAGACTGACTGATTCTCTGTACGTGTCATCATGATAAATATGTGTTAGGTCAACAAAACTTTAGAGGTTGTTATATATATATTTATATATATATACAAGGTATCCCAGAACTGGCGAAAAAGTTTATAATGGCATATTCATGGTTTCATTCGGAGACAATTTTTTCTCAGCGAAAATGTTAAGACACTAATGATTTTCGAATTATAAGCAGTTGAAAATTAAAGCTTTTTTGGAAACTAACATAAAATATCAACTGAACTACATCCTTCAGTTAATTTTAGATAGAGTTTGCTTTAATAGAATTTTAATACAAGGCATAGTTATAAAGATACATAATAACAAAAATTAGGAATATGCTACAAATGATGACCTTTCTTAACATTTTTACTAAAGAAAAATTATCTCCAAATAATACCAGAAATCTGCCATTAAAACTATGCCGCCAGTTCTGGGACACCCTGTATATATAACGACCTCTGAAGTTGGAATCATTAAATAAAATCATTTAGAATTTGTTCGTTAGGGTAATTATTATCTTTTCATTAGCTAACTCTTTAGTTGGACAGCGTCTTGCATCATTTTTTATGTAAGGCATAATAAAATAGTGATTATTCAGTAATGTATTAATGTTATTGAATAATTACTACTAATAATTATTAAAAATATGAGTCCTAGAAAAAATATTAAGTGCTGGGTTTTTAGGATTCTTTCCTGGCCATCTGAACGTCAGATAGCCAAAAAAAATTATATATATATATATATGTATATATATATATATATATATATATATATATATATATATACTGTGTGTGTATTAGAGTGTGTCAAAAAAAATTTTGTTCAATTTTTGTCCGCAGCTCAGCTAAAAAGTTAGAGAAGATAATAATTACTCTAACGTGCCAACTCTAATTGATTTTATTTGAAGATTCCACATACGTTTTGAAATTTTCCTATTTAAATAACAAAAACAATTAAATAACAAATTTTCTCAAAAAATTTGTCTTTATCAAAATAAATTAAAGCAATTCAAAATTCGGTCTCAGTACTGATATGACCGTGTTGATAATTACTATAACAAAGTAAACTAAGGACGGAGTGGAAAAATTAATAAAAAATTATTTAAAATATTAAAAAGGGTGGTTTTTGCATTTTTTAATTTTTATCTACATTAACATAAATAATATGACTATTATTTGAACGGTTATTTTGCATATTTTAGTTTGAAAAAAAAGCAAAAAAAATGTTTTTTATAAATATAAGTATAATAAAATTTTTATTATTGCTGCATGCAGTCATAAAATTTTGTAAATATACAAAGGCATCGAATAATAATACATCTAAATAAACTATAATTAAAGCAGTAAAAGAAATAATGTATATACAATATGAAAAAATTTTTCATATGCAGTATATCCATGTATGCAAAACTGCAGTTTTCTTTACATCCACAGATCAGTAATAAAATCTTTCAAAATATTTTATCTGTCTTTCGGTTTGATTGTTCCGATTCGTTATCTGTTTTGTAACGTGGTAATATAATTAAATAAAATGTAATCTTATTCCGCATTATGACCATGTAATATTGTATATAAAATAAAAGATTCGCACAATGAAATTGACATACTTTTTATATAACAAATAAAACAAACATAAAAATATTATTCAAGAATTGATAAAATTAAACAATATTTCTTTTTCTTTCGCTTTTCATAATAATATTTATTAAATTTACCTCCTTTATTTGATGTATTTTAAATAAACCATCTGTGTCATTTACTTCAACTAAATTATTGTCTAAAATATCTCTAACTTTCCCTGATATTTGCTAAAAAGTATTATTTTTCAAACATTATCAATATTATTTTAAACATTAAATAATAATTATTAATATCACATTATTATCATATTTTGTATACATATTTAAACGAGTAAAATTTTTACCTGAGTTAGATTTGTAAAATATACGTTATTAATCATAATAATTAATGCTGCAATTATATTAATCTCTCTATAAAAACAAAAAAACAAATGCATATATAATACACATAATAAACTTCTGTACACAATATTTATAAAAATGTCACCTTACTTTGGTTTTACTTCATTAAAATGATCTAATATGTACTTCAGCATAGTTGGATTCTTTGCATGCTTTGTAACAATATGAAAAAAACTGTTAACATCAAGTTGATATTCCTGTTTTATAGAATGGTACCGTTTATTTTCTAAATAATAGATGATGACATCAATATCTTCAGGGCAAGCCAAGTATTCCAAAAATTTAGCGTCAGATTTAAACACTCCTATATCAAACACTGATTTCCAAGTGGTCTCGTTTATGGTAATTGTCATCAAACCTTTACAATATGTCCATTCCTTCCACCATGGAAAAAGTCTGAAATATAAAATTCAATTTATTTATTAAAGCTTAGCATATGGATTTTTTGACTAAATAATGAGAACATTATAAGCGATACCTGCAAGGAAATTTATTTAAAAATTGCTAAAAGTGTATAACTATATTTACCTGTGTATTTGAGAATTTTTGATATGTCGTTTTAATTTATTGTTGGCTTCTGTTTTACAAGTAAAATCACCGAAAAAACATGCCCATCTTGCAGTTTCTTGTCGTAAACACTTTCTAAGTTCGTCTGTCTCATGAATTTCTTCGTATTTGATTTCTCTAAGTACCTTGCCTAATATGTTTCTTATTAGTTCCTAAAAATCGTTAATATTTGTTTCTCTGGTTAATTAATATGTTTGAGCCCGCGTTTAGTTCAAGTGCAACTTTCGGTCGAATGTCCCTGGACTAATTGTAAGAATTACATCCCGTCAAATGTTGCGTCCGCGAAACGATTTTGATAATCACTCGGACCGCGCGATATAATTAAGACCTCTCCTCGAAAATATAATTAAATTTGTGCGAAATGTTAATAATTATAAATCATTGACAAAGATTGTAAACACCCAGCTATATATCCAAAAACAATGTTATATATATATATATATATATATATATATATATACATATATATATATATATATATATATATATATATCAATAATATTAGCAGTAGTGAAAATCAAACACTTTGGAGCCTGTTCTTCACGTGAGTGATTATTCAAACTGAATGTATTTACACATTTATATGCGACATAATAAATAGTATGTAAAATTTTATCGTTGCCGTATATATTTTTCTGAGTATTTGAACTTTTTGTAGTAAATGAGTGTATTACGCAAATATCTGAAATATAACATTTTCATTGAAATCTATTAAAATTTACCTTTATCTCCTCAATTTGTTTTCCAAACGCTGAAAATGTACCGAACATGTATTCCAGAGCTTTAAACATAGGATACCAAGCTATAAAATCTTCGTCTCGATGCAGATACATTATGATATCCCAGAATAGATATGAATCAAGTTGGCCTGCTATCATTAAATGAAATGCATCATCAATAATTTGGGCACGATTAAGAACATGAATTTTCGTGTAATATTCAGAGTTTAAATAATTTGAAATTCTTTGCCAATTCTCCTTATCATAGTTCACGCGATAATAACCTGTAGAATAGCAAATAAATTTTATACATTTTTGTTATTTTAAATATTATTTGAATAATTTTATCATTATGTAAATTTTATACAGATTTATTATTTTAAATATTATTTAATAATTTTATCATTATAATGCATTTATCTTCAAACATTTTGGTTTCTTCCTCTTGTTTATATAAATTATAAATCAAAAACGTATTAAAAATTTAATACAATTAAATAAAATGCACATATATATGTAGAAAATTAATTACAAATAAAAATAAAACTATGCAACATATTGTTGTATAGCATAAAATAAAATTGATTCTAGTTGTACATAAATTATGTAATAATTATTTTTTTTGTAACGTGTAACTTTACGAAAATTGTAGCTTTTACTTATATCTATATTACTATACTTTTATAAATATAATTAACATTTTATAATTTTTATTATTATTAGAATAAAATATTTGTAAAAATATAACTTTAAAATTGATTGATATTATAATAGAAAACACCAATGTATATCTTAATTATATGTAATATAGCAAAATATTACATAAGATAATTTAAATTATTATATTTACACAATGAATATCTTAAATTTTTAAAAAACAATGAATAAAATAAATAAAAATATAAAATAATGTAATTTTTGTGTGTAGAATAAAGACGAGAAACAAGTTATAATAAGTCCCTTGGTAGATATTATTAAATATAACGCATCATCAACTTACCAATTTGTTGTAAATTGAATATCATCCAACCACTCTCATTAGATGTTAATGACAATTTTAAATCCTTTCGCACGCACACCATATAATGAGTAAAATTTTTAAAATGGGGACACGCTTCCCTAGTAAAAGTTACAGGAAGGCAGTCAATTTCTAATGTGTCGATATATTGTATCGATACATTCACTTTGTTCATGGTATCCCCATAATTTCGTATTATTTTTATGATAGGACAATAATGCGTTTTCTTATACCGTCCAGTCATTAATTGCCGTGTAATATGTTTTCCTACAGCAGCCTCAAGTTTTGCCCCAAACTGCACCATACTTTCGCTAAATTTACAAAAATATTAAATATATAAAAAAACATTATAAATATATTAATAAAAACAAAATATAAAATTGCACTTCTATTTATATATTTATATATCTTATACTTACATTACGACAATAAAGAATATAACATATTTTTACATAAAAGAGTAATGGCAAATTTTGCTCATTTTTGGGACCTTACATTTCAAACTTTTTTTCATGACAAATAGTACTATTAGATGAAACATGAGCATTGGCACAGTTCCAAAGATACAATTGGATGCAAGGGATAATTTTTAGTCAGGGATGAGAAACTTTCATTATCACTTATTTTTATCTCCAGAACCGTGCTTATGCTCATTTTTTAATTTTTCTAATTGTAAGATTAATGTCTCATCATATAGTACTATTTGAGGTCCCAAAATTCGACTCTATTAATTTGGCAAAAAACAGATCTATTGTCATCACTCTTTATTAATTTTATTAGATTTTTATTAGCCTAATATAGATTATATTAGCAGCATAATATAAATTAAATTTGAGAAAATTATTGAGAAAATTATAAAATGATTAAGAGAAGAAATAAAACATATAAAAAGTTGAAGACAAAACAAAAATAAGAAAAATAATATAAAGAAGATCGATTTACAAGAAACAAAAATAAAAATAAGGAAGTGGAAGTGTTATATATTTAAATACCTGTTAAATATTTGTTAAATATATTAAAAAACAAATGTAGCACAAAATGCAATTAGAAGAAAAGAAATTATTAGAGTTATAGACAATAATGAAATAAGGGAAATAATAAATAAAAAATAAAAATAATTTATAAACTATTTAAAAAATGACAAATCGTGAAACAAAAATAAACCAAACAACAATGAATACGTATATAAAAAAATGACAACGATGAAACAACAATTTCTCTTTCTACAAAAGCAGTTTTGTACTAAACGTAATGAAATTAAATATAATAGTTTTACACAATTTTATTTTTTAAAATTATACTGTATATTATATTACTTACCTGTCAAGTATATATGAGCGAACGCTTTTCCAAAATAATTGTTTGGTGAAGGCGTGTTGTAACATGCGCACTAAAAAAGGTGCTACAATTTAAATCAAAATTATAAGTTAGATATGTTATAATTATATAATTATTTTAAAGATTACATATAAACATAATAATTTTAAAAAGAAAAATTATATTTATATGTATACAAGGGAGTAATCGCGTAACAGTGAAATGAAATTTCTCGTTAATTCTTACGAATATAGCAAGACATTACAGGATCATACAATTTAATTAAATACTTTTCGAGTTATAAAAGTTAAAAGTTAACAATTTTTTACAAAATGTAATATATCTTGCAAAACATTCAGTTTTTAGTAATTATATTTGAATAAATTTATGTATGGAATATATACATACATACATACACTATTTCATTTTAAAATATCCTAACAATGATTTCTTAAACTTATTTTAGAAAATTTATTTTAGAGAAAATCGTTTTAGAAAAAAGTTGTTGAATTTTAAAGAAAAACAAGTAAACGCTATTGACTTTTTCCTAAAGGCCAATTTTTATGATCATTTAAAAATCACTTATATTTTTTTAATAGCTCTAGGTAACTTAATAATTTTATGAGTCGATTTCTTACAATATTCATTAAGTTTTGTAAGAATAAGATAATCATAAAGAAAATATTTTGTAGGATATTTTATATCTTTAACACATTATTTTACATAAAGGTAAATATATCTCAAGAAATATTCATTTTTCCTCGATCATATCTCAACAATTTTGTACATAAAATAATCATCTTACCTCTGATGGATTGGCGAATGTTTAATAAACTGTTATTTTGCACAGGAGAATTCCACATATGATAATCACCATCCAAAGAAAAAGAATAATGTTGATTTTGAACAACAAACAAATTCATTATTTGAAGTTCTGGATACGTCTATAAAAAAAATTGTTAAGTATATCGAGATAATCGCTCTGAAAATACTTACAACAGACACAAATACTAATATTATATTAGCGTTACTTTTATCTTAAATAGAAACATTTTCTCATTTTGAAAAACACATAAATAAGTATATGTAATAAATCTAAAATTATGTATTAACATAATTAACAAATATAATATATTTTTACGATTATTATATCGTAATATTATATAGCAGAGTTGTCCTTATCATATACCAATTTGAATAAATATTGTATGTACTAACTTTTAATTATTTATTTTATTCTAAATTTCATATAAATTAAAAAATATCTAATAACGTGGTGCAAAGAAAATAAAATATTTTTAATACTTTGCATTATAATTATATGGATAAAACAAAGTGAAAAAAAGTATTTTT